TCTGCGCTGCTGGGTACGCGACCCCGCCCTTCATCATCTACAAGGGACGCGTCCATATCTCAGCATGGTACGAGGAGACTTCAATACCGTACGACTGGAAGCTCTCTGTATCAGAGAATGGCTGGACAAACAATCAGCTTGGCCTTGAGTGGTTAAAGCACTTTGATGAGCATACAAAGTCGCGTCAGGTAGGGTCGTACAGGCTGCTCGTCTTAGACGGCCATGAGAGCCACCTCAACCAGGATTTTAAGGACTACTGCCTCAAACAAAAGATCCTAACCCTCTGTATGCCTGCTCATTCATCGCACATACTTCAGCCACTTGACGTAGTGTGTTTTTCGCCATTGAAGCTGAAGTACTCTCAGCGCGTACGAGACTTGGCACGCCGACGCGTCTACCACATCAACAAAGAAGGCTTCCTTCCAGCCTTTAAAGACGCGTTTTTCGACGTATTCACGTACGAGAACTGCAAGAAGGCCTTTGAGGCAGCAGGACTAGTTCCTATCAACGCGCAGAGGGTCCTTGATCGCCTTGAGGTCCGTCTTCGTACGCCACCACCAGTCGTCCTACCAGAAACACCCTGGCAGTCTAGAACACCAAGTAATACGTACGAATTTGGGTCGCAATCAAGGCTAGTAAGGGAATCATTCGTACGATCTCCAACAAGTGCTCAAGAAGGCTTCTCAAAGCTTGTTAAAGGAGCTGAAGAGATGCTGCATGAAAATGTTCTTATCAAAGCCCGCGTACGAGAGCTTGAAGAGCAAGTAGCAGAGTTAACAAAGCGCAGAGGGCGCAAAAGGAAGCGAATTCAGACAGGCGGTACACTAGAGTTTGGTGCAGGCGCATTGCAGGTAGCTGAAAGTGCTTCTGCTGCTTGTACGAGGTCTAATAAGGGTAGTAGTAGAGGTAGTCAAAAAAGGACCCAGCCAGCTCAACGGCGCTGTGGCAACTGTGGAGAGACTGGACACAACGCTCGTACGTGTCAGAAAGATGCAGAAGAAGATTCTGAATCTAATGTAGCTACATCGTACGAAGGATCTGTAGAGGATGTAGAGTAATTTTATGTTTCGTACATGGTGTTCGCGATGCCAAGAAAAAGTGGCCGGCTCACTGGGGTGGCCGGCTCACTGGTGCTTTACGTTATAGCTTATTATAGAAAGTAGATATAAACTATCTACTTTAGTCTAAGACTATTATATTAGAGAAGCTATAATTATACTAGATATAGTGTAGAAATAGATATACAATATTAGAAGCCTCTATCTTATTATAGAGAATTATATAATATTACTTAGATAAGTAGACTACTATAACTATAATATTCTTATATTCTTTAGATTCTAGTTAATTAATAACAAAGTTAATAGAAACGTCTACCTAATATTATTCAAGTATAGATAGTAGCTTTAGTAGACTATAGTACTTTCTACAAGAAGCCTTTATATATTAGTAGATAAAGTAGTAAGAAATATAATAGTAAATAGTCTTAAATAGTTAGAGCTAGTAGTATTTCTACTAGATTACTTTAAGTATTTTCTCTTTGCTAGAGTAGCCTTCTAATAAGAAATTATAAACTATTTATAGAATTTTAATCTTAAGTTTATTGTTATTAGGTATTACTAAGTTATTATAATAGTAGAGGCAACTCTTATAGTCTTTATAATTACTAAGTATAACTATCTTAGACTATTATGCGCTATTACGTAATAGCTTTAGTGTTTCTTAAATAAATAAGTCTTTAGGTAGCCTATCGCCTATAGAATAGTACTTACTATTAAGAATCTACTAGATAGATCTATTTATCTCTACTAGTTTAATTACTACAAGTTCTTAAAATAGGTTAGGATATAGTAGAGTCTATTTCTAAGCTTATCTTACTTTCTTCTAAGTAAGCTAGTTCTAAGAGTAATAAGTAAGAGCGTTAGGCTTCTTACTATACTTACTAAGTTAGTATATAATTATAAACTAGAATTGTAATAGATATTTAGACTAGTAAGCTTAATAGTAGCTTAGTTACCTTATAGTAGGAAAGTACTATAAGTTCCTATAGTTACTAAGCATATTAATAGAGAACGCAGCGCTTTCTAATTCTAGTCTCTACTATTTAAAATAGTAAATAATAGTAAGTAGCTTCTTATTATAGATATTATAGTTATTCTTAGTAGATTTTGTTCTTTTTAAGTAGTTAATAGTTCTTAATAGTAGTAGTGTTTAAGATATAGTAATTAATATAAAAGTGTAGTCTACTACTAGATTTCTTAATAAAGATAATAGAAGAGGTAACTAGAGAGAAGCTTACGTAAATAAATTTCTTTAATAGGTAATCTTTAAAGTACTTATATATTACTTTAAGTTTATTCTAAGACATACTATATAGTAGACTAAATCTAAACTATTTACTAAGTATTAGTTTAATCTTATAGTTATAAGGCTATTATATAGATAGCTCATTAGACTCTTCTTATAAAAAGACGTCTATTAGGTTATAATACTTCTAAGAGACTTTTATAAGTAGATTAGTATACTTTTTCTTAGTTAGTGCCTTATCAATATTAGTAATGCTAATAGTATAGATTTTATAGCCTTTTTTGCGTGCTAGGCTTATAAATAGAGTAGCACCTATATAGTAGATATTAAGTTCTAGCTATAACTTTAATAAGTTATTCTACTTATCTATTAACTAGGTACTATTAGATCTGGGTATAAGTTTAAGTATAAGTTTATTTAACTAGTACTTTATCTTAGGTAGCTAGTAGTTACACTATTATTATAGTATATACTTAAGTTTTAAGTTTTAAGAGTAGGCTTTATTATACTTACTACTACTTTACTATACCTTAGAAGAGAGAATAGAGGTTTTAGTATTTCTAAGGCAACGTTCTTTATATTATTAAGTAGTAAAGATTAGTTTTTTCTTATTATAGTCTAGGTTTACTTAGTACTTATTTATCTAGAGTTAGCTAAGTATTAAATTATAATAGTAGTGTTTATAATGTAGAGTTATATAGATTTATGATAATTATTATATTATAGCTTTAAAGTAATAGTATAAGATATCTCTCTACTATTAAGTATAGTTCTAGTAAATCTAGTTAAGTAAATAATATAAAGTAGTAGGTCTTAATATAGTTTTAGATTACGCGTAAAATCTCTATAAATATATCTAATACTAGTAGCTCTAGTATTAACTTAGACTTTAAAGTTACTCTTAACACTATCTTATTAAACTATATAAGATATTATAATATAATATTTCTAGGTATTAGTTTAAGATTTAGACTAGAGTTTAGTAGAGATTTAGTAGGTGTATAGTTCTAGAAAGTAATTTATTCTTAGAATAAGGCTTTTCTCTTCTAAAATTAGTTATAAGAACGTTATTCTTAGAATTATAAATTTTATAGAGATTCTAATAAGATAGAACTAGTAGACTAGGTATAGTTATAGTTACGCGCGCTATAGAATTAGATATACTAAGTAGGTAGAGAAGTGCTATAATCTTTAGAGATATAACCTTTCTAGTTATACTTAAAGTAGTAGTTTTTCTTAATTTTCTTCTATTATTTAGAGAAACTAGTAGAGGTATATACTAACGCGTCTATCTCTATTACGTTAAGGTAAGTTATAGAGTAGCGTTATAGGTATTCTAGTAGAAAATAAAAGTTATTATTATATATAGATATTAGGTTAGCGTAATTATTAAGGTTGCTAAGTAAGACTTCTCTAACTATTATATATTAAAGTTTATAGAACAGAGAGTTTTAGAAAGACATAATTAGACTAATCTTATTTAACCTAGTATTAGTAGCTAGTTATTAGAATTTAGTAAAGTAAGAAGTAAAGCTACGCTTTTCTTAATAAAATCTACTTAATTAACTAAAAGCTATTGGCTTCTTATTTAGATCTCTATAGGTAGCTTTAAAAAAGGTAATAAGCTAGTCTATATTATAAATATTCTTATCTATAAGTAGATTAATAAGAGCTACTATATTCTTCTTAAGTCTAGAGTAAGCGTATAGTAAGTAGAATCTTTTATTTAGGTATTAGTCTACGTTTCTCTTAAGCTTATACCTAAGCTTATAAATAAAGGTAAAAAGGTTTTTTTATTAGCTATTAAATAGAGGTAGGTTAAGTAGATAGTTAGTTTAGAGAAAGTTCTTTAGGTTTACATTAAATAGCGTTTTAAAATTTAAGCTAATTCTAGATAGTTCTTCTAAATAAACTTAATCTTCTTTAGCGCTAGTTTAAGTAATAGCTAAAGTAGTAGTAGAAGTAGATCTAGTCTTAATAGACTTAAGCTCTTAGTAAAGCTCTAGAATTTATTAAAAGTATTAGTTTTCTTAGCTAGATTAGTAAGTAGTACTTTATTACGAGCTTTTAATATAGTAGAATTAGCTTAGATAGTATTTAGCTAACTTAGAATTAATTATAATACGTTAGATTACTCTTAAGTAGTTATAGTAGTATAATATAATATAATATTATAAAATACTAGAAGCACGTGTTAAGAGCTTATAAGACGTATTAATTATATCTATATATAATATTTAGTATAATATAAGATATTACATAAAGAATAGAGTAGAGTATAAAAGTAGTAAAAAATATAGCTAGAGCTATATATAGCGCTTAGGCCTTAGCTAGCTAATTAATAGATTTTAGGTAGTCTAGCGAGCTACCTAAAATTTGTGTGTTTAGGTGTTAGAGAAACTATAGTAGTTACTATAATATACTTACACTAGCGCTAGCTACCTAATATATTAGAACGTAGGCTTCTAATAGTAACGCGTTATTACGTAATTCTAAAAAAAGTATACTATAGGTTCTATCTCTTAGGCCTAGAGAGACTAGATTATTATTATCTTTAGTTATTCTATAATAACTCTTTTCTATATAAATTACTAGACAAACTCTATAAACTACTACTTTAGTCTATCTTACCTTAGTATAGACTAAGCTTAGAGAAGTATAGCCTAACTCTTTGTAATAAAGTTATTATTATAGTGTACTCTTAGTAATATTTAAGATAGCTATAGTATATTATAGCTTAAGTATTATATCTTATTAAATAGCTTATAAAGTAAGCTATATATCTATTTTATTTAAAGTCTTTTTTACGTTGCTTAGTTAAGGTAGTATAGTGTGCTTAAAGTTTAGTTAGGTCTTAGTAAAAAGGTTCTACTCGCTTAAAGGTCCTACTCGCTTATCACCTACGTTAACGTGTTTTAGTGAAGTTTGAGTTTTGTAATAGTTTTGTAAATACTATTCGCGATATGCCTGCCTAAGAGCATCTTGTATATCTTCGTCGTGCACTCTGCTACGTGCAGAAGGTACGGGCATCCCTGGGTTCTTGCGTAGCTGTTCACGGTAGTGTGCCTGCTTTAGTTGCGTAGCCCAGAATGTGTCCGTTGTACGCCAACGCTCGCCCTCTGCGAAGACACGGGTACTGAATCGCACAACCTTTCCGATTTGGATCGCAGCTACGTGCATGAAGAAAAACCCGATGTCAGGAGGTGAGTAAGGCTCGTCGCTGATGGTTCTGATCACGATGCCGTCCTCGGTCACACCGCTTGGTTTTCCAAACAACATGCCCTTGGCTAGCTTGAGTTCTTCCATGTGAAGGTTAAGGTATGCGTGCGTTTCTTTGGCAAATTGCCCCAATGTGATAGGACTGTCATTCGCATTGTCGATGGTCAAAGCAGGCGGTGGCTTGTACCGTTCATGTTCTTCGTAACGTATATCCACTCTATTCAGGTACTCGCCGACGCACACCTCGTCAATACGGCTAAAAGGTGGGCTTGCGATGGACTCATTGGCCAGGTAATGTTCAAATAGAGGTACGTCAGTTGTCGAATCGCCAGGTCCCGTCCGGATTTTGATGTCGTCTAGAGGAGCCAAGACATTCCAGCGCAGTCGGTACAACAGGTCTTCACGAACGCGGTCTTGAAGACTAGTGCGCTTAGGCCTCGATGACATATTCGCGAGGTTCGGCGACGAGGGAATGCAGTTTTGTTGAAGCAGAAGCAAGGTGGGGGAAATGGCGTGCGGCGCAGCTCAATATCGACGATTACCCCTGTCGCTAGCGAAGCCGCTTGTGACCAACAGTCAGCTTGGCATCTCTACTTATATCGGACTCCGACCCTAATCTCAAAATGCCCATTGCTCCAGCCACTTCTTGACCACAATCGCATCTACAGCTTTACCGTCCCGTAATGTAGAGCTCACAGCTTCCGTTCTCCGCGTCTCTAATGCAGGCAACCCCATGCCTGATTCAGGTCGTAGACTCTGGTAGAAGTCCAGCAACTTGAGCCCCGGAACGCGCTCTGCATTCTCCTTCGTTTGTGGCATACGTGCCAGTTCATCGACCCAGTCGTTGTACTCTACGATCTCCATGTCATCTTCGTTGTTCTGAGTGTAGAAGCCTCGAATGACGGGGTATAGCTGATCCCAACTTGTAGTATGCGGATTGGCAAGATGATAGACTTGCACAGGCTCGGGTTCTGAGTACGTAGCGTTGGCGATGTCGACGACGGTTCCGGCTGCAACATTCATGGGCACCCAGTCTACTCGGTCCATATTACCGAGGGTGCGCGGCATCTTCTTCATCACCTTGCTCGTATGGACTATAGTTGGCAGCCATTCGTGACGGTTCCACGCTGCACCACCCGCGTTGGTGCTTGGTCCTGCAAGCTGTCCCGCGCGCACGATGGCCGTCTTGATGCCTAGGCGATGCGATGCAGTGGCCAAGATTTCAGCTGCGACATGTTTGGACTCGGCATAGCCCTGGGGTATCGTGATTGCGCCGTCAAAGAGCGTGGTGATGGATTCTGGTACGCTAGATCCGTCCTGCGCCACGCTGTCCCAGTTTCCTACACTGGCGATGGAAGAGATGAAGGTGATGGGTGTCTTGTAGTCGGAAGCCAGCGCAAACTTCACGACGCGGTAGGTGCCAGCTATGTGTGTGGCCTCATATGATTCGAGTGAAAGGTTGAAGTCGACAGACCAGGCAGAGTGAATGAACGATGTAGCAGTAGTGAGAAGCTGCCTGTATGTAGCGTCCGATAGCCCAAAGTTATCGACGCTGAAATCCGTCCTGAGAAACTCAGCCTTGCTGAAGTCTGTGTTCGGGCCGTGGTATGTGCTGAGAGTCTCCTTCTGTCGTGCCTCGGCGTTCTCCGAACGGTTCAAGCAGTATATTCTCTCGACCCCCGGATCTCGTAGCAGCTGCTCTAGAATGTGACTGCCCAAGCTCCCCGTTGAGCCGGTGAGAATCACAGTTTGTTTCGATGGACGAGGAGACGCAGTACTTGTGCTCTTTGGTCGAATCATATCTTTCGTGTACTTCCTAACCATAGCGCTGAGTTTCTCCTCACGGGTTGGTGGAGAAGCAACCCGCTCGGGCGACTTGTTCACGTTCTGGGACAATGCCGCAGCCAGTTGCTTGACCGTAGGATTACTGTACACCATCGATGCAGTCACACCAGCACCACGAACGGCTTTGTTGAGCGCGTTGGTAAGGGCGAGAACATCAAGAGAATCGACTCCCAGGCCGAAGATGTCGACATCGTCTGCCATATCGTCTTGGAACGAGGGAAGAGCGCGTGAGAAGACGGCATGGATCTTGCTCGCTAACGCAACGTCGCTATCAGCACCCTGATTCGGATCGCTCGAGTAACCTTCATCTGCGTAAAGGGCTTCAATCTCGTCTTTGAACGCCGCAACAGTCTGAAGGCGTATGATCGAGCCCTTGGCGGCGCGGATGAAAGGCTTCTGGTCTTTTGCAACGGCGATCTTGGTCTGGTAGATCCGAGCATGCGCAGGCGCTTCGCGATTTCCTTGCTCCACCATCGGCCAGATGTGATCGATCAAGGCAGAGGGGTCTTTTGTGCTCGTCTGCGACCAATCTGGTTCGATGAGTAGGCCGGCCTGGAACTTGCCTTGACCGACGACTAGGGCGCCCTTCACCCACGGGTGCGACTCGAGCAGCTTCTCCGTGAACACAGGGTTGAACTTTTCGCCATTACTCAAGACAATAATGTCATCTCTCCTTCCGCTATATTTCCACAGATAAGGCTTTGACGGATGGCGTCTGAACAAATCCTTGGTGCGCCATTCGTCTATCTCGGGGAAGGTATGGAAGATGGCCTGGTATCTCTTGTCTTTGGGTTTGATGACTAGTTCGTACAAGTCGTCACCAGCAGGTTCCATGACGACACCGGCAGCGGCACCCCAATGAAAATATCCCCATTCTTCTGGCGCGGACGGAAGGAGAGTGGTTGTCAGAAAGGCTTCCGTACTGCCAATGACGGTGATCAAATTCGTGACTCGACAGATCTTGTCACCACTCTCTGAAGCGAGAGGAGCCCCGCCAAAGAAGACATACTCCAGCTTACCCATAGCCTCGATACCTTTGGGTGTTGCAGCGATATCTTCCAATACAGACGGTGGAAAGATACCGGACGTAGGCTTTACCGCTTCGATCACATCAATGACCAAGCCGGCACTCAACAGCTTCTCCGATGGTAGCCGTACGATGGTGCCACGGCACATGAGAGATTTCAGGCCAGTGATGATACCCATGGCGTGAAAGAAGGGAACAGCGGCAAGCATGGGCCGTGGATCTGCCAGGAAAGCCTTGCTGGTCTGCTCTCTGCCATCTTCTGGACTAAGGTGCGCCTGCTCGTACGCAGTATTCAGACCACTGACAGTCAAACGAATGGGCTTCGGGAGACCTAAAGCTGTTGTCAGCGGGAATGAACTATATGAAGAGACAAATCGATCGGGGAACGTAATACATACCCGTGGAACCCGAAGTGTGCAAGATCAAGCTATGCGCTGTCACGTCACGATTTTGTCTGCCAGGGTAGTGTTCCGTAGGAAAGCTCGGATCAAGCATCTCTTGAGAAGTGGGCGCTTCGTAAACTTTGAGACTAGGTACTGCCTTCTTGATCGCTTCGACCTGCGGCATGGTATCGACTGTAGTCAAGAAGATGGTGCAGTCTGTCTTCTCTACCAGTGACTTCTGACCTTCGAGCGAGTTTCGGGGCGAAGTGAATAGCGGAACGTATCCCGTCTTCAAACACGCAGCTAATACCACAAGATACCGTAGATCGTTCGCGCTATGCAACAGGTTAGTATGTGAAATCGGTAATGGCAATGCTGAAAGGTTGCCCACTCACCCCATGTAGCCCATCGTCTTGCCCACGTGTTCTGCAACACCACATGTTCGCTCAATCCATCGCGACATGTTGTTTACTGAACGCGCAAGATCAGCAAACGTGAAGTGGTGCCATCCTTCGTCCAGGCTGCGAGTTGAGCGCGGCACTATCGCCCAGGTTGAGTTGGGTACGGACTCAGCCGCCGAGTCGATGTAATCGGGCACGGTGTTTTGCTGTTCTCGTGTATGCTGCTTTTGCTGTGTTGCTGCCATCCTTGCTATCGTATATGGATGCCGAAGTTCTTCTGGTGCAAAGTATTTGGCGTCGCTCTCGGACGCAGTCGGAAGGGCAGCGATGAGTGAGAAAGTGCGTTTTGAGTATTAGTAGATTTGAGTGATAATTCGGATAGCTTGGAGCGGTATCAGCTGTGTGGCGAGGCGTTCGAGTTCTAGGTGAAGTTGAGGCTTTGTTTGCTGAGGGACTAGGAGCTAGATATACTTTGGCTGGCGCTAACCGGCGAGATCGAGAGTTTACGCCAGCGTAGAGCACAACCTTACAAAATGCCGTCATGTTTCATCGGGTACGTGACTGTTGCCATGCCGATTCTTCTCCGAAGCATTTTGGTGGAGCATGAGGCATAAAAGTTGCACACCACGCTGCAGTTGGCCAGCTCGTACGAATAATCGACGGAGGGTCGGCTTAGTGTTGTTGATGGCTGCTGATTTATTCTAAGCCTTGACAGTGAATCAGTCTTCAATTTGATAGGGAACGCGTCATCGCGATAGATTGACATCAGTTGTAGTGTGCGAAGTTGTGGTGTATGGATGACGCAGTCATGGAGATCCCTGCGCATATCACCTCGGCCGAGCGAGCATTCTGGTTACTGAGCGCGCCATCAATGTTGGACACTGGCGGCACCCACTCAACACACGGGCACATACACATAAGCCTCGATAAGGCGCGGCCCGTCCAGCGCCACGAAGCTTAGCCCCCGTGTACGATGTCACCAGACCGCTCTGCCGCATGATTGTTTGACACACCCAATGGCATACTTGATAGACAGCAGATGCACCTAATGTCCCGTCCGACACACCGCTGTGCTTCAACAAGCTTGCCTACTCATGCTTCATCAATTTCGTGTTTTACATTGGATCGCACCCCGCGAAGCGCAAGTGATTGATGATAGTGTTTGTGAACAAACGGTTGCACTACGTATGGTATCAAGTAGTCGGGTATCAAATACAGCATCGAATGCCGCCGCCTTCTGCATCACCTCATCCTGCAGCAGGTGCAACCCTTGGCGTTTCCTTTTCCTTCTCTCGCCTCTGCGAACCCTTCCTACGTCTTCGCTCCGGCTTGTACACATCGTTGAAGTTGATGTTGACAGCCAGCATCTTCAATTCACCGTCAGGCGAATGTACCAAATCTCCGAGCAAGATGCTGATTCTTGCTCGGAAGTCTTCCGTCAACTGACTCAAACGCTTTTGTAGCGCTGGCAGAACATCATCTTCGGCCGAGCCAGTCATGCCGATCTTGAGGAGCGGGGGTGGGAAAGACGATTCGTCCTGGCGAGAAGCCGCGCGAGAGTGCGAGGGAGCGAAGGGATCTGACGATGAGCGGTCCTTCTCGGAGAGTCCCCACCGACCTGCTGCTGTACGTGTTTCGATCTTGGCAACGTGCTCCTGTCGGCGCGTGAACTCAGCGACCGAGAATGAGTACAAGCCATCCACCGCATCCTTGTATGCCAGCATCGTCTTCAGCAATTCATGGAGCTGCCCAGTGAAGTCGATACTGGAGCTTCCCAGAAGACCTTTGCGCGTGATGTTGTTGAGGTATATCGCATGAGCTTCGATCATGTCGTCCAGCGTGCTCTCCGGCTTGTTGAGCGCTCTCTGTAGATCGATCCATGATGACTCTATGACTTCGAAGAGGATGTAGTGTTGCAACTGGTTGACAAAATGAACCATCTCAGCCATTGCGCAGCGTGCTTTCTTCCAATCCGCGCCGAGTTTATCTGCTACGGTGCCGAGAACACCACGCGCACCAGTCATGCATCTGCGCCATGTTGAACCAAGAGCGAACTCGACGCGCTTGACGCGCCATAGGAAGTTGAAAACTTTGAGGTATTGCTTGGAACCGAATGGCGTGACAATGACATCGACAGGCGCATCAATCTTATATTCCAGCGTAAAGACATCCCATCCAATCTCGCCATGTGATAGCTCCAACATGCGTGAGTCAAGGCGGCGCAGTACATCTGAGGTGTCAAATTGGGCGTTGGAGTTGCGAACGGCATGTTCGAGTTGGGCAGTGAGCGTGTGGCGGTACTGCGTGTTGGCCGGTCGATCGAGGTTGGAGGACAGCGACTCCATCAAGACTGCAATAAAGTCGCCAGCGCCTAGCAGCATATACTGCTTGAGGGCCTGAAGATGGTCGAACAGCTTGAACTTGTTCCCCATCAGGTCAATGAGACGAGCCATGGTGGTCTTGTAGGCATCGCCAATGGAGCGCTCAAGATTCGCAGTGTCGCCGTACTGCAACTCCTTGGAGGCTTCCTTGGAGTATGTGTCGACCCATGCTGCATCTCCGCACCCATAGCGAATGAAATTGAGGGTCTTGCCAATGAGGAAGACCTTCTTGGCAAAGTCGTCGGTAACGATTGTCGGGATCATCTTGTCATTCAGTCTGTATTTGTCTTCCCAGACGCTCGTAGCGCCACCTTTTCCCTCGTTGCCGTTCGCCTCGAGAATGTCATCTTCACTCTGTTCCGAGACGAAGAATTCGCCAAAGGGATCTGCGAGCTCGCCGTCGTATACCCATTGCCGGAGCATGTCGTAGAAGGGTCGAGTGACATCGGAGAGAAGGCGTTCGGCAAAATTCATGACGTAAGGGTCGCCGTGGTTGAGGGAGAAGGAATGTATGAGGGCAATCAGCTCGCCGCCCTTCTTGCGCTTTGACTCTTCGACCATCAGGCTCATCAAGCGCAAACCCATGGTGGGTTCCCGTATCCAGATGACGCATCGCTTGAGGGTAACACCGGCTTTGCTGACGCCCTGGGGTGTTGATGCCTCGTTCAGCTGTGCCAGCGCTCTTTTGATTTGTCCCTCCAAAGTCGCAACCAGGCCCAGATATGCTCTCAGCTCCTTGGCTAAAGCAGCGCGGAAACTCTGCTCAATCAGACCGCCATCGCTCGCCTCGACGAATTCGGCCAAGCCTTTGTATAGTATGGCGGGTTCCGCGAGGGTGTGCAAGAGGCTGACGATGGGTACCGGGAGGGTTGTAGGAAGCTTGAGGGCGGTCGACGAGGGGAATGCGAGGTTCGACGAGGAATAGCCCTGGAGTGTGAACGGTAGCTCTCGCAGCAAAGTCGGCTCTGAGGGCCCCGTCTCTGCCTTTTCCACATGTCCACCGTTTGCTTGCTGCTGCTCCTTGGCGGTGTCAGGCCGTCTTCGCTTCTCTGGCTTTTCGGCTATGGAAGCTGGTCGTGTGGATGTAGGTGCCTTTGGTGAGCCGGCGTTGACAGGCAATTGGGCGAGGCCAGGCTTTGCAAAGGCGTCTTGGATGGCGTGGGATGAGGCTGCCACGCTCTGGCGCTTGGAAGGCGTCGTCGGTTCGCGGGAGAAACTGCGGGTATCCTGAACGGGCGGCGGCTCGTGGGGTGCTTCGGCGTTGTCGGACAGGTTGTAGAGAAAGTAGAGCATGCGCCATTTCTGGTCGAGGACGCTTTGTGTCTCCAGGCGCGAGAGAAGATTGTGTAGACGCGCGCTCTTGCGCTGGTCATTGTTGGGACCCGAGACTATCACATATTAGACTACTAGTCGCAATCCCTCGATATACTCACCCTTGCGGTCTATGAGGCTGGCGATGTGCTGGACGTCGGGAACGAGTGAAGCATCGCCCGCAGTCGTGAGCTCGTCGAGGGCAAACTCGTAGGCATCTTCAAAGCGCTGGTTGGCCTCTTCTTCGTTCTCGTTGGGGTCTTCGGGCACGATGCGGACCAGCAGCTCGTTCAACGCGTGTTCGACGCGCTCGCGGTGTAGTGTGGCCATGTTGGCGCCCTGTTTAGTCGCGAGTCCACTGCTCTTGACCTCGGCGGGGTCGACGCCCGCCCGTGCGCGTCGCCCAACCTCGAGCCAACGCGTCACTCTGCACTTGTCACCACCAAGGTTGGCCAGAATTCGTGTACTATCCTATGACAAAATGAATAGAAGTTTACGTTGTCTTACAATTTACCTACTCGCCAAGTTATAATAGTGTGTATGCAGCAATTGCATGATGCGACACGGCTTTCGAGCCAACCTTGGTGTCACTCGTCACTCGTCACGTACACACCAAACGCCATACAGCCATGCGCCCCAATGCACGTTCGCAATCCAACCCAGCTCCATCGACGCGATACAGAATCACTCTGATTATCGAATCAGTGGGCTATGAGCAGTTCCTGTGAGTGCATCGTCAACCTGCCTGGCCCACACGCCAGGCTTCCAAGAGAGACACCTCCAATCATAGGGGAACATCCAACAATAGTCGTCATCATGGCTAGCATACATCGTTTGAAGCGCTAAGCGATCGATGAACATCACTTTGATGAGTATGACAACTCATTGAGCATAGCACTCACACCCGCAATCCGAACCGCTTTCGTCATCGTCGTCGTCGTCGTTTATGAAGACGATCATGTCCGACGTGCCCGGCGTTGCATCCAACAATGATATGGTCTATGCAAAGGATGATCAAGATTGATGTATGCGCAGATGACGTTAATGGCTTTCGGTGAGCCTATCTGCCTCCACGCTGAGCGCATTCAGTGTGGTGTGAACATGAATGTCCCGCCCGCTTGCTTGGCTCTGGCTGGGCAAGCCCGCGAGCTGAGCTGAGAGTCAAACAGGGCTGTCAGCGTGCCCATCGGATTAATATGCATCAAGCGCCCCATTTCCGCAGCCTACAGTCGTCCATCACGCATACACATATCATCACTAGCCAACCGTTACTATTGATACTTTGCTCGAGTCGGGCGATATGACAAGCGTTGTGCCCTTCTCTATAAGCGAAGAACTCTATGAAAAACTACATGCGGGCCCTGGAGCCTCCACGCTCAGCCGCGCACATACATCGAATACGCAGAAACACAAAGATTACTTCCCAGGTATTCCACGAATCCCCTTGCCCAATGTGGGAAATCAGTCTCGAGTCCAAGATGAAATCTGCGCACACCTACAGAATGAGCTCATTACCGGCGAACTCAATAAGTTTTCCCCTTACCTCTGGCTTGTCGCAACCCAGGACAGCTCACACATATCGTCTCTGACGCACCAGATCGTACGTGGAAGGAACATTATCATAACCGAGAAACCAGATCTACATCTAACGTGGGTGTATGATCGCGTATATCTCAAGCCCATACCAAAGGTTCTTCTATCATACACATTCTGGACGATGTATCTTCTCGACAATGACAGCAGTTCATCCATTCTGTCGTCAAAGTCACAGGTTGTAGAAGCAGCAAAGGGATATCTGAGATCATATTCCTACCTTGTTCGTCACCGCTCCGACTTCTATGTCGCACGGGAAAAGGGCCTCATACCTCGACACACGCGCTACGCTGAACTCATAAGGTTTCTCCAGAGGTTTGAGACGATACCAGATAGTGATGTCTCGCCACGATATCACTTCGGCGAACTCCGAGTCGGAAGACTGAACTTCTGGTTCAAGGTCATCTTTCGGCGCTTCGCGTTCCAGAAGATCCATGCTGACTATACGACCTATTTTGCACGGTTCTATGGGCCGTTCCTGTTTGCGTTCTCTGTGCTGAGCATCGTCTTGAGTGCTATGCAGGTGTTGTTGCAAGCGAAGACAGCGGAGCCAAGTCTGGCTGGGACGGTTGTCCACGGGTTCTCAATCTCCGCGATGATCTTTGTCGCCGTTGTCGTCGCAGTATTCGTGGCCATGTTCATCTTACTTGCTATGAGGGAGATCTTGTTTGCTTGTGCGGACTTGAGGAGAAAGAAGGTCAAGAAAGCTTCACAGTGCTGATGTAATTCAGTTAGTATCGGAAGTAGCGCTCAGGCTCAGTAGCGACTACCCGTCGCTGAGAGCAAAATTGATGTGATTTGGACTCTGACCTTGGACCTATCACTGTCATTTTGATCCTTCTCTCATCGTTCGGAGCCGGTCGACACTCTCCTGCAAGTCTTTCTTCTTACCCGGCACGCCAATAGAGTCCTCGTTATACCCATCAAGTGCTCGTACATAGGCTTCTTCGGCTAGCGTGATCCATCCCATATCCTCATACACTTTTCCCAGATCTTCCAAGGTCTCCAAGACATATTTGTGCGTGGGCTCAGTCTGACTTTCCAGAGATTCAAGTGCTTGTCGAAGCCATGTAACAGCTTCTTCCAGTCGGCCATAGCGATGATACACGACACCCAGATCCCGAACCGCGAGCAGGGTCAAAACATGATCCGACCCTAGTTCCTTCTTGAAGTGTTCGAGCACGGTCTGGTGTAACACGTGCGCTTCGTCCAGCTTCCCGATCTGTTGGCCTGCCAAGCCAAGCTGGCGTTTGGTATCGAACGCTCGCATGGAATTAGGTTCAGTCCTCAAGTACCCAGCTAAGCATTGCGTGAAATAATCGTATGCTTCAATAGCTCTATTTTGAACCATGCACAGTCGACCAAGATCATACACAACCCTCAGACTAGGTACGGCGTCCTCTCCCTCTACTCGAGTCGTTATTTCGAGCCTCCATCTCAGGGCTGCTTCTGACTTCTCGTAATCTCCAAGTTCTCGATAGCATATGGCCTGGTTATGGATGTTGAGATGTGTTTTCGGGTGCTCCAAACCCAGTGCGTTTTGCAGGCCCGGTATGATGATCTCATATAGCGCGCTCGCAGCTTTATACTTTCCCCGATCGAATTCATGAAACGCGAGACCGACCATTGAGTCGAAGGCCGATAAGAGAAGGGGATCCGCTATCTTTATCATGCGGATCAGATGATCGATCACTGGTGTTAAGCGACGTGAGAGGACCCAGAAATCCTTGTGATGAGCCAAAGGTACAGCTCTACCGACCACTGTAATAGCCCGGTCAAGGTTTTCGTGCCATATATGGGTGTTTTGTCTCCCTTTTGACCATTCATGAACCACTGGGTGTATCGAAAAGCCACCGGACACACCTTTACTGCTCTCGACGAGCGAGAACTCGCGCAGAGCTTTAACAGCCCCAATGAAGATCGCTTCATTGCTTGCGATAGTGCTAAGCCAATCGAGTTGTCCAAATGGCTGATTCTCGGTCTTGTCTTCCGTCACACCTCGTTGGGAAGTATTCCACAATTGCAGACTACTTTGCACTACACCAAGTCCATTCGTGTTGTCCATAGCTGATTGAAATAGGCCCCACCACACATCAAAACTGTCTAGAAACGCCCAAAGCATTAGCAGTTTGCCGGCAAATGAATCTCGAGTCTCTACAGCCGCGAGAGACATCTCCCAGCTTGATGATATCGACCCATGCTCGTACGTAAAGGGGTCCTCTTGATCTAAGAGAAGACTGGACTTGCGATTGTAGTGCTCGAGGTACTTTGCAGCCGAGATTCCTGCTTCGTTGATATAAGCTCCAGCATGGGATAGTGCCAGCGGCAAGCCGTGGAGCTTTTTAATGATGTCTCGAAAGCCTTCGTGATACATGTCAGCGCGTTCAGTGTCGATGTGAAACATTAGCCTCTGACCTGTCTCATTCGCTGGTCGTCCTGAAGCCCGACTGATAAGGTCCAACCCTTCATCTTCATCCATTTCCTTCACATTGATTCCAGCCCCTAGACGACACAGTCTTGATAGTCTTGTCGTAATTAGTATATGTCCGCGGTTGACAGATGGTATGTATTTTCGGATGTCGTATGACGCGTCACTACCTTCTTGTAGCCCCACGACAGCCTTCATTTGAGAATCAACATTGTCGATTATCAATAGCCATTTGGTATTGGTCTTTTGCTCACACCATTTCATTACTGCGTCGATTGCCTGCTCGAGTCCAACATTACCTTTCTTGAGCTTTCCGGACGGGGTTAGGACTTGTGGGAGTGGGATCTGCTCGGCTAGCGCAGCCAAGCTAAGTCTTAGTTCAGCTTCTGTCCTGCCGTTAGTCCAGAATATTGCGGTGTATCTATCTTGACTCTGGACTGCGTAGTGTATCGCCAGCTGCGTCTTTCCTATGCCACCAAGACCTTGTAGAACGAGTACCTGTCTTCTTGGAATATCTGGTAGCTGCTCAAAGTACTCAGATATCTCCGTCAATGTTTTCGCTCTGCCAATAAATTGACCGCACAAGGTGGCATCTTTCAGCCGAAAAGGTACAGTGTATGTAAGACCCAGGTCTCGCTGCTTCGCTGTACTCTTCTCGAGGATGATCTTGAGACCTTCCTGTAGGTGTGACTTGAAAATACCGTAGTTTGGATCATGAGCTGATTCGAATCGCTGAAGCATTTTGTGATTGGTAGGTATAGGGACTGAGCGATGTCCATCGATGACGGCTGAGTTCTTCGTAACAACCTGTTCATCACAGTCAGCTACGTCAATCTGTCCATTTGCGCACTAGGAACGAGAGGCTACTAACTAAGAATAAAGGAATTCCACTGATACTGATGGGCTTGGTTTCGAAGAAATTGCAAATGAACACTGAACGAAAATGTGTCAAGAACGACTCATGCAGATCGAGTAATTCGTTAGAGCTTGGTGTAAGGAATTCGAGAAGAACCGAGCGTGATCCTAGCCAGTACGAAAAGTGCGATGACAGAGTCCCGAGGAGGGAGAACGTCGACCCTTTATGCGGTGTACCAAAAAAGAACACCGCCCCTGTGGACAAAGCTACCGAATGAAGACTCGCATTGTCGGTCTGCTCAGCAGCAAGTGTAAGTGCCTAACATCTGTTAGAAGAGGGGCAACAAGATGATTCTCGAGGCTGACCTTCTTAATGAGAATGCCGCCAAAGCTGTGCCCGATCAGAATTAGTGGTCGTTCCTGCTCCTGAGCTACGTTAGCACATCGCATCAATCTCGTCGGATACACCTACTATTGCATCAGCACGAAGGCTGCTGATCGATTCTAATAAGCTTTTTCCATAGTCTCTCAGACTTTGAATTGGGGAGTGTGCATCCCACCTTGTGTCATGATTCACCTGTGCAATTCTGCATTTGGGGAACTGGTGGGCAAGTATGTCACGAAGCCAATGCGTTCCCGTAGTTGCGTTGATCCAGGTTGTTTGGGGATTAGACCCAAGTCCATGCACTGCGATGATACTACACTGAAGTCTTAGTCATGTATTCATGAAGTCGCTGGATCGGCCACAAACTCTGCCGTGATTCCAGCGCGACTTAGCCCAAATTTGATCGGATCGAGAATAATCTCGACCTGAGCGGTCACAGCTCCTTCCTCCGCAGATTTGATCAGAATTTGGACCGGCGTCAACAGGATTGACCACAGCAACAATGTGGAAGTGATTGTAAAGAGCCATGCACACTGCACCAAAGTCGCTCGATGGTAGTTTGTGGCGGTGATGTAAAAAACGCTGATTGTGGCAAGCCAGCTGACCGTCAGGTTTCGCCAATAATGATCGATTGTCCACAGAGAAGCGATGAAGAGTCCAACTACAAGTATGGGTACGATAAGGATAGTGTGTGTGATCGTCGCACTAGCAACCGTGTCCAAGTCGTTAGCGGTCTGTTCTTGCGGCATAGGCATTGTTGTTTACCAAGGAAACCTTGTAGGTGTCTCGCAGGCGGCAGTCTAACTGATGTGGGCAGGCAGACACTAGCGTCTTAGCAGACAGCAGGACGTGCGGGGTATGCACTCTGTCATCGTTTACACAGCCTCATATACAAGCTGACACGCATCGACAAAAAGAAAGGTATGGGGTGTCTGTTGTGCACGACTAGTCTGGCACACCGCCGACCCGAGACAAAAAGAAATCTTTCCAAAAACATACAACAGCGGGGATTCGCTAGTGGTCACCCACCTAACTACTAATCCGCCGGTACAATGCTTGTATATGGCTGAGCGGACGGGAAGCCTAATTTTCATTGTCCTATGGTCGTATGTGAAAGCAAAAGGTGTTTTAGATGAAAATATAGTCAAAAAATACGGTTGAAGAAGCCCAGATGAACTAGACCCACACCCCGGCTATGAGTACCCTAAGCATCCTTAAGCATACTAGCAACACCAGCCCAAGTCTCCAACACAGTCGGGCGAATCTGGTTAGCCGGCAGCGTGAACCCGTAGGTGCCCTTATCCCTCAGCTCGTAGGTGTAAGAGTAAGTCGCATTGCCCGTGACGTCAGTGTAATCGGTCGAAGAACCAGTGGTGGCATAGAGAGTCGCGCAGCTGGGGCCAATGGTGTAAGCAGTACCGGAGACAGCGCGGATAGCGGACTGAGCACGGGTGGCGATGGAGCGGTGCTGTGCGTCGTTTTCGGCGCGGAGGTTGCAGTCATAGCCGTAGGGCCAGAGGATGTATTGGCCGTAGGAGCTGGGGTAGGGTCAATCAGAAGAACGTGAGTATGGAGGTATTGGATGCTTACTGCACGTCGAGGTAGAGACGGATACCGCGCGACGCCTTGAGCGAGTCGACTTGCGCCTTCAAGCCCCGGAGCTCGGGAGCGTCCCCAGCTGCCACGCCCTTGTATGTCTCTGAGCAAGGGTTTGTGGAAGCTCCGCCTGTGACTTCCCACTTGTAGGGCCAGTTACCTTGAAGAGGTGTTAGTGGTGTATCCATCGGTGAAGGTGAAAGTGGACATACGGTTGATATCACGGCCGACACAGCTGTTACCGCTTACAGTCTGCCTGTTCTTGCGCCAGAGACGGTCGGTTGTCTGGGAGTAGACGAAGCCATCTGGATTGACGATGGGCGTGATGTAAAAGTCGAACTTGTCGACAAGGGACTTGATGTTTGCGTCTGAGCCGTACTTGGTGAGCAATTGCCACGCGAAGTACCTGAGTGGTGTTAGCAGATAAATTCAGGGTCCCACAAAAGCAGACCTACTCGGTGGTCATGGAGGTAATCCACTCTCGTGCGTGAACGTTGCCGTGAATAATGACGGCAGGCTTGGAGCCCTTGCCACCGCTACCCCAGATATGGATACCAGTCAAGACCCGTCCCTGGACAGAGGTACCGACAGTGACGATCTCAGACTGGGCAGTATACCCGGCCTGTAGATCCCGGAGGAACTGGATGTGGTCGGCATATGGGTGGTATGCAGTGAACCAGCTTTCGCTAGGAACTGGATATGGTCAATGAATGACATCGCATGAACAAGGCTCTCTACAAACCAGCATATACGCTCATCTCTCCCTCCTCGGCAAGAGCTGCGCCGACATCCTCGTTCAGCACCTTGCTCTCAGCCACCAAAGCAGTCAAGGCATCGACATTTTCGGGTGAAACGACGACATCCAACTCCGCAGACGTGCCGGGGTTGAGGATGTGTGCAGCCAAGCTCTCGATGTCTGCCTTTACAGCATCGGTGCTGGCTACACGTAGTACCTTGAATCCATTGTAGTCAACCTTCTTGCCGGCCCTTGGGACTACAGTAGCAAGCGCCGTGGAGGAAAGAAGGAGCGCCGAGGTAAGGATTGTGGTCTTCATGATAGGCAATGAATGCGACGACAGTTGTGAAGTGCAGTGCGGTACAATGCTGCGGAGAGAGCCTGCTTTTAAGTCGTGCGACAGTCACACAAGACCATAAACCACCTTCCGATCCAGTATGTAGTACCGCGGACACAGCCCTTGTTGTTACCCCAAATCTCGCATCGATTAGGCAGGTACTCACCCCGTACTCCTGGCTGATCTCCTGCAAGCACGGGAGATGTACACTCGAAGGAGCTCAACGTAGATGATGCAAGCGCGGGAGCCTAGCAGTACAAGGAACTCGGAACTCCACATCAGGATCTGGACGGCGGTTTAATATACAGCATCACTTGGCATGTCCTCTGGACGACGTGGGTAGGAGAGTGTGATTGGTGCGGAGGCTTTGAGCTTGTCGCATTAGGCAGGTGCGGGTTTCGGAGACTACGCTGGCTTGTCTTGGCTACGAGATAGGCCAAATACAAAGTCTAGGCAATGCCAGGAACGTGATCACGTGGTGCTTGTTAGCATGTTGACGTGCTGCAGTTTGGCGAGTACCTTGGCGAAGCGAGTGCCTGGATGGGAAGGAGGATGGAGATTGACCAGCCTGGATGCGCCTCAATAACAACTTGCTCGTATGCGTGAAATACGAACAGCACCACGGCGTTTTCTCAGCGACTTGGAACACCCAGCTCTCTCAGCACATTCGCGTAGCCGATCCTCAACCACTTGTCCACATGCTCTTGTCCCGTTATCCATACGCTTCCTAGCATGCCTCCAGCATTCGCGCTCGCTCCCTCTGTGCTTCCCTTGCGACGTGGAACAACCACGAGACGATCGGCCCACATGATGACATTATGGGGAGGTGTTTCCTTTTCACATGTACCCATGAGCAAGCGGCACCGCGCAATGAGTGTCTTATACACATCAAGAACAGTCGAAGCGGCCGTATTCATGAATCCATGACTGAATTCATGGACAAAGAACTGGAAAGGTACCTTGTTCGATGCGTTGGTGAGAGAAGACATGATGTAGTCGAAAGCATGTGGCGGCCCTCTCAGACCCTGGAGGTGCTTGTGTATCCTGCTGCATCCACCCTTCTCCCCACAGTTAAAGATGACATAGAATTTTGGAAGTTTTCGTAACACTTCCAGCATGACCTCAAAGTCATCTAGGTCAAGAGCTTCGTGCTGACGTTTGTAGGAGTCCAGAGTCAACATGAGTAGTTGCGGCCGGTCGACGCAGAAGAGATTAAGTGCTAGGTCGTGCGTGCCGTTGAGCTGCGTGATAATGAGTCGCTCGTCTGGACAGAACATGTCGCTCCCAGGACCCCATTTTCGTGATTGGTCAAAGGCATGGTTCGTGGCGCCTACGGTGTGAGGTTTGGTTGCTAGTGCTGGGCAGATCCGAAACTCCATCTGGACAAGGTGTGAGTAAGGACTGGTGTGACTGTTACCGTTGCTGGACTAGCTTACCGGGTAGCCTTCGTACTCGAATTTGATAGTCTCATTAGGACCGTAAACAATTACACCTTCTGAGACGAGCTCGTCAAATGAGTCGGTTAACTTGGCCTCTGTGATGTCGTCCATGTTGAACGATGACTATGCGGTGAGGCGGTGGTGAGTCTGAAGCAGCGCGTTGAGTAACGAGGTGCTAGGCCTGTGCGCGAAGCCACGGAGTTAGTGGCGTATAGCCGAACTGAAGCAGAACACCACAAAAGAAAAGGAAGGAGAAGATGAAGTTTATGTAGCATTTATAGCTAACCCATCCAAAGAAAGACATGCAGCACCAAAAGATCTCGCCAACCAGAATTGAAAATGCCATCGTCGATTATAAAGTATATGCCCCTTTCCAAGATGCAGTCTCCCAACCGCAGAGATCAAGCAGTGTACATGGATGTGGGCGCAATGCCGGGGTATCGTGGTATCGTATGAATGAGGTAGAACTATGCCGTCTCAGGCTTGGCGGACAGTGGCCTCTCTACCAGGACATAGTCAGCACTGGTAGTTGATGTAGGAGTCGGTGTCTCTGGTAGCGCACCTGGCATGTTTTGGGACTTTGAGGCAAGGGGGCTGGCGGCCCCTTGTGACCGAGCTGCGTCTTGTTCGCGCTGGGTGTCGTTCTTGGCTGGGGGAGAGTTGCTCTTTGCCTGGTTGAGGCGCTCTTCAGCGGCCTTGAGCCTGGCCTCGAGGGCCTCGAGCTCCTTGGTCTGGGTCGTGACTGCTTGCTTCCTGCGCGCCTGTCAGCCGGCTCCGAGTAGCGGTGAAGAGGGCACGCCGTACTTCTCCAGAACGGTCTTGTCCAGGTTCGCGAGACCTTCGTCCAAGTTGAACAGGCTGTCAAGCTCCGACATGAAGTTGCGGGCTAAGGTGCTACAGGGCGTGGTCAGTCTCAGACAGGCGGGAGCTATGCTAGCGCCGGGAGAGCTCACGATTGGGGGCGGTTGTTTGGCTTCCAGCCTTGGTCTGGGTCCTCCATGGTGGCCGAGTGTGCAGGGTACGAGGAAGTCATGGTGATGGGATGGGGAGCAGCAGCGGGTTATGCAAGATGCAGGCGGCGTGGGGAGGCTCGGGGACGGTGGGTATATTTATGGGCTGGTACAAGAGTAGACAAATGGAGTCAAGTGGCTCAGCGGATCAAAGATGTTTCATGCAGCTCAGCCAGACCTGGGGTGGAAGGGAGGGAGCATAATATGGCGACCCTGGAATAGAGAGGGAAGGACGATTGCAATGTTAGGAAAAGGGGACGCCTATGGCCCAAGCTAATTTGGGCGTAGATCGGAGGTGGAGCTTGGAGGAGCGAGGGATAGTTTGAGCGCCGCAGCTCCCGAGTGCCCGACGAAGAATGGCCGATAGATACGATACGACACAGAGAGGAGTCGCAGACGTAGGTCCAGTGTACATGTCGGACGGCTATATAAAGCTATGTAAAGCTACCCCAAAATATCACAGTACATGAGAGGGCCCGCCGCCTGTCAGTTCTGGTTCTGGCCCCGCGCTCGCGTGAGGCGACGTGAGGCCGGACGCGCCTAATTGGCTCGAGCCAGGGGCGCCCGATGGAGGCTTCAGGCGGCTGGGCTGCGAAACCCCGACGACAATTTGCGACATTGCGACAATCTCCCTCGACACCACCAAGCCCCCGTCCATCTCGCATAATTTCCCCGCCCGACGCGCCCATCACGACTCTCGCATGCGATGCCCGTCTGCCTGCCGTAGCAGCTCTCCGCCCGCCCTCGCCCGCAGCCGTGGCTCCCCTTCCGCCCCAGGCCCATCGCCCTCGCGCTGCACACGCCTGGGGGATGAATACTAGCGGCTCCGCCTACACCAACCTCGAGTCGCTGCTGCTGTTCCAGTGCCTGCATGCCTATGGCGTAGCCCCCTCTGTCTTCGGGCGGATCTCCGACCTGCTGAAGAAGCACCCCGACGTGGCCGCGCACAAGTACTTCCAGGCCGGCCGCCTCAGCCCCGATGCGCTGCGCAACTTCTATCTGGAGCGTCTGAAGCGGGAGCTCGAGCACGAGCAGGGAGGCGACAGTGATGGCCCCAACGGGGAAGTCACAAATCCGGCCAAGAGAAAGAGGCATAGCCCGAGTCTGCCGACGGTGCAGGAGTCGCTGCAGCACCAGCACCTGATCCCGAAGCTCGTCACGAAGCTCTACGCGTCTTATCGATATGAGATCACGGAGCAAATCAGGGTAGAGGAGGAGCGCTACGAGAGACTGCAGCGCGACCTTCAGGGCATCGAGCGCGGAGAGTGGGACGACCAGCTGCGCGAGAGAGCAAGCGGCCGGACGCCGACATCGCGAAGCCCTACGCTGCCCAGGAAGTCGCCGCATCTCGCGCCGAAGACGTTGCCCCCGAATGCCAGCTCCACACCCGTCCAGAACGGCGCGCGTGGAGCGCCCGTCATCGCGCCTTCCCCAGATCCTACTCAACAGCCGGCATCCGCGCTACCACACCAGAACGGACACCCTTCGCCATCCCAGCGCAAGAAACCGCATCCATCCTCGGACGGGCGACGGACGCCTTCGACACCGCAGCCAAACCCAAACCAGCCGCATGCACCCTCGCGATTCCAGCAACCGCCGCAGCCTCACACCGCCTACAACTACCCCCAGAACATACAACCCCAACCAAGCTCGCACCAGAATGCCGGCCAACCTCCGCAGCCGCCGTCACCAGCGCTGGGATCTCCCGGGTCTCAGTTCCAGCCCCAGCCAGGCCAGAACTACGCCATGAACGGCGCGCCTCAGTATGGTCCACCAGGCTCCCAACCGCCATACCCTCCACACCAGCAGTTTCCTATGCAACAACCTCCAGGACCTCACTCTCCTGGAGTTCACCATGGGCAACAGCAGAGGCCGCATTATCCCCCTGCTGGTCACCAGGCCTACCACCCGCTGCAACCGCAGATGACCCAGCCACCGCCTCAAGCGGGCTTCATGCTTCCACCGTTCCAAGTTGCGCCTCAAGACCCCTCGCGCGTCCACCATCAACCCGCCGTGCCGCCGCATCACCCTCAGGTCTCCACGCCTGTGAGCAACCGGCAGCAATCCAGAACAAACATACAAACTCCCGGCACCGGCAGATCGGGCGCGCCGCAGATGCACCCCCTCGTCATTCAGGCGAGACAGTCTTTCTCCACGCCGATGAATGAGCGCTCTCCGCACAGCGCTCTAGCGACTCCGGTGTCAGCCAAGAGTCTTTGGAAACGATCGAGCTTTACTGGGACACCTGGAAGCTCTGCAAGCCCGCGCCCCGAAGTGCTTCCTCTCGACGATGTACCGCCGCTGATCCGGCCAAAACAGACACCCCCGAAGTCGAAGACGCAGCGAAAATCACGGACAAAAGGCAAAGGCAAAGACGCAGAGCAAGAGTCTGTAGTAGACGTCGAGACACCACAAAACTCTCAGCACCACGACCAAGAAGACGACTCTTTACTGGAGCCCGAGACTCGGTCTGGACGTTCACGGAGAAAAGCTCCTGCCAAACGAACAAGACCCGGTAGCATAGCCTCCTCTCGAGCAGGCGGCTCTGTACGAGACCGAAGTCGAAGCCGATCCATCCTCTCGCATACCGATACGGTAGCAGGTGACAATGAATCGCAAGCTGGGCGTCGCATCAAGTCAGAGCGCGGGACCTCGGCGGAACCGGCTGAAGAGGAAGGTTCTGTTGGAACACCATCATACATGTCCACACGACGTCGTGGAGCAGCTCCAGCCTCATCACTTTCATCACGCCGAAAACGGAATGCCCGTGAGGCCTCTCTCGAGGAGAATGAGGATGCGTCCTTCAGCACTCCAGGCCCACCCAAGACACTGGTCGCGCCACGGAACTTCGCCCGCATGACGGCACCCATGATGTACGATATCAACTCGCACAAACATGCCTCAACATTCAACACCGCCGTGCGCGCAAAAGATGCTGAGGGTTATTACGACATCATCAAGCGCCCTACAGATCTCTCTTCCATCAAGAAAGCTATTGCAACAGGCTCAAAGCAAGTTGCCGCAGCTGCAGCCGCGTCGGACAACCCCACAGGTAGTCCTGGCGGTGTCATGGGAGGCGTTGTCGAGCTGCCTATGACGGCCGATAATGTCCCGCCAAAGGCTATAGTCAACGCTGCGCAATTGGAGAAGGAGCTTATGCGTATGTTTGTCAACGCAGTCATGTTCAATCCAGGAGAAGATGGTGTGGTAAACGATGCGAGGGACATGTTCCAAACCGTTCAAGGACTTGTCAGTACTTGGAGGGATGTGGAGAGGGACAGTGGGCGCGCGGGCAACGAGGGTACACCAACGGTTGAAGAAGAGGACATGCCCACCGCGAGCAAACGAAGGAAAATATAGTTTAATCCTCGAACGGCTATGCATGATTGATCACAGCATGGGAAGGAGTTCGCGGTCATTTGAAGTATATATTGATACCATGCCACGACACTGCTGCGGCAGTCTACCACTTTTAGAATTGAACATTGCCCATTTTAATCATTTCCACCATTCATGCATGTCAACAAGGCCGTGTCATGAGGGATTGCTACAATGCATGTCACATACACACTATTGATTGCTAACAACAAGACAGCTTCCAAGGTAATGTATGCTTCTGTGTAAAGATCTTTTACGCAGAATGCCACCCTGGTGATATCGATGTAACTCTTATCTCAGGCCCGCTTCGGGTGGACCCTTTGCTTATGCTCTTTTACTTTGAGGTGAGAGACGGTGACCTCGAATACCTGCGTCCAGCATATAAAACACCGTCAGGTCTCTCTCCTCCCTCCATCTCTCCAACCTTCTCAAATCTCCCCATCTCGCACGCAGACGACCACCAGCTGCAAGTATCTGTCACTTCATGATGGATACCTCCAAGAGTACAACGCCTCCAGCGACACCGTCGCGCGCCTCGACTGTACCCGCCACAAGTGCCGAACGCCCAACTGTCTCCATACATCCACCCAGGATGGATAACAGTGACGACTTCATCGAGATCTCACATGTTCCAGATCTCGTCGACATCACTCCGTCTCAGTAAGCTAACGTCAATTTACAGCTTTGTACATTGGCGTACTAATGTGTTTTGAACAGAATGCTAATGAAAACGCCCATTACCATCGAATGCGGGCCCGGGCTCCAGACGAAGCTGACCTTCCACAAAGAGATGATTTGCTGCCACAGCAAGCAACTCAGCAATAGGTTCGAAAAGGCGAAGTCCACCATGGTCCACTACGAGAAAGCCGATAAGGTCCGCGATGAGCTGGCCCAATACGTATTCCCCGAGGTCACTCCCAAGGAGTTCGAAGCTGGTGTCATGGATAAACAGGTATGTCTTGTCAGTATACCCTAGATGTAGGCATCCGAGCATTAGCGGCCGCTCCGTCTCATTAACGGAAGAGCTGAGCACCATAAGCCTACGTTGACGATACATCTCCTCATTTACCGACGGTTGTTTGCACGTAGGCCTCTGGCCCGTTTGGCTTCTTCCTCGTATGAGTTGCGCTTTTAATTGTATAAGCCTAACATCCTACAGGCCAAGCCTCTGATCAACAAAGCATATGAGAATTATCCTCTGTTCGGATATGCCAATGGTGTCAAAAAGGTCATTATGGACGCAGTAGCTGGAGAGATTGCCGCCAAGAACATCAAGAAGACGGCGCAGAGGCCAGTAGTCGACTTGAGTCTCGCTAGCCGTTTGGAGCTTCTCAAGCCTCAGGCCGTACAAGCCGTAGCCGCGGCGCTCTTTGCCCGACTTCATCTCATCAACAAGCAAGAGAACCGCAATGCTGAGAAAGATTCTTCGAAGGCCGCCGCTCAGCACCGTATCATACTTCCCGATGTTGAAGAGTCAACGGTTCGAACACTCATGCAGTGGATGTACCAGAACACGTTTCCATTGCTGGGAACCGAGCAGACTTACGCTGTCATGAAGCTCGCTCAACAGATTGGGGTTGACGCGCTCGCCGTTCAATGCCGTAAAGCGCTGTACAACGTCACCAACGCCAGCCTTAGGAGTGCCGATGCCGACGGCATCTCTTTTCAAGCCCTGCTAGGATACGGTTCAGAAGCCGTCAAGGACGACATCGTCCGCGTCGTCTTCGAGCACGCGATCAAGGACGAGAGTACGCCCAAGGAGCTGAAGAACCTCATCATAGACTCCCTGGCCGGGTATCTCGACCCCGACTTATGGCATCACGTTAAGGGCCTGATCAGCCACGGAACTGCACTAAAGATCATAGAGGCCATGGTTAACTTGCGACAGCTTGTCAAGATCGAGATGGATGGCCAAGACAGCATAAAGTCAGAGAGCCAGGATGCTTCCAGCCCCGATGTCTCCGAGAACATGGCTATCGACGAGGACAAGAAGCTGGTTCACGTTAAAGAGCAAGACGAAGCACAAATTTGAGGACTCCCTGTGTGCGCTGCCGCGAAGTTGGCGAAACCCGAAGCCGATGTCGACTTCCGTGAAGTAGAAAGGTAACGCAGGGGAGGCGATGGGGAAAAGTACAGGCTGGAGGTGTCTACGGATCGTAGATCTTTCACATATATTAGCGATTGCTTTTGCGTTTCATTTCTTGCATTCTCCGCATATTTCGACCAAAAGATAGGGAATATTACTAGCATATTATTCTTCTAACTCTTTTATCCAACCAATGGTAGCACCTATGACCAATCGGCTCGTAGTAGTGAAGGTATTCGCGGTGTTCTACGTCATTTTATCTCGTTGCAGATTACAGTGAGTATCTTCTGGGTACGCTTACTTAGGTGCATCTGTCCTAGGTCGCTACGCTCACACCATGGACAGCCTAACTTGTACACAGTGTCACGTCGGCAGTTCGAAGGTGACACCGCGTATCGTTTTGTTTGGGGAAGAGTCTTCGATCCAGCAGCCGCCCGAGATGGTCGATGTCTCCACATCATCGATGCAGGATCTTCAGTGACGAAGTAGCGCTTTTGTGCGATGCTTTCTCGAAAAAAAGAGCCGTCTGTATTTGTTGCGTGCGACGGTTGGAGTGGGTCCTTTCCCGATGACCTGGTTTAGTGACGGGAGCGTTTAGCGGGGAAGGGAAGACTCGAGAAAAATAGCGGTTGCCGCGGGTTTGGTGTACGGGTTGCACTGTGATGTAGTTTCGAAGAAGGGTCTGCCGGCGATTGGACGCATCTATGAAACGGTAGCATACTACTGCGAAGCTTTCCAAGGCTAGGACTCTATCCACCTGCAACACGTCATATCTCCCCTGATTCTACGATGTTTGACGACGTTTCCTGTTCGAGAGGTATGCGACGCTAAGGCTAGCAACGGTGGCGTCACTTTCGATATTTTATGGGAACACAGATGTGTCAATCATATCTGCAAGAGAAGCCACAGTACTGCGACCCGCAGACGCGGTTTGTACAACTCGAGCGCTACTAAGAGTTGCCACTATCGCCTTAATAGTTGACGGCATAGCGACTTTTTATAGCGTTCGTTGCTTCATCGCTCAGTGGAAGGCTTATCGCAGACTACCTAAGAGTACCGACATAGCCTCGATCGTGAATATGGCTGTTCGATCGACCGAAATTGCGGCCGTCATCGAGATTATTCGATGAGGAAGTTCAGTCGTGATTTAGGGGTGCGTCTGACAGTCCTTTTTGGGGTAGATCCTCCGGTTCATGTGAACTCTTCCCGTCGAGTTGATAAACTTTGATCGGCCCGCTGAGGGTACTGACAAGCTGCCGCGGTCTCTACCAGTGACTTATGCCACGCGGAATGCGGCATCATGCCGAACGTGAGAAGCGATATGCCGATGTCGGCGCGGAACATGACAGAGAACAAATTTGCGTTCTCTCCGTCCTCTCTGGGTTGCTTAACGCGTCGCAAGCTCTCCTCTTCTCTTAGCATCTTCCCCAAGTTAGAGCTTTCTCCGATCTTCCCAACGACCCTTGGTGGCGTAACTGTAGTAGGCTCAGCCCGCCGTGGTACTGCTAGCGAAGGTTTGAAAGAGGCAATACGTTTGGCGCAAGTGGTATTTCCCCAGGAAAACGCTCTGTCGTGCAGCATGAGCCGAATAGCCTACGTAGCTGCCGCCGGCTTGCTACATGACACAACGTCACACATCTAACGGAAGCGGGATATCCAGCGCAAAACACCGTCGTTGCGTGTACAAGGACTGGCAGGAACAGATATCTGGAGGAAACCTGGAGAGAATTCTAAAGGCCAGGGATGGAGCTATTACCACTTTCGCTGCCTATCTCTTCTCTAGCGCTAGCCTGCGATTCGAAGCCGTTTCCTTGATATCGCTGTCTTACAGGAGAAATTCTGGTCTTGAAAAGGCGGCTTGTTGTGCGTGATTGTAGGAACGCATTAGCAATCATGTTTCAATTCTCAAAATTTCTGCGACTGCCCCACATCTTTCGCAAAGGCGAAGCACGATCAAATCGACATTGGCAAGAACAAGATGACGCCTGCGAACTGTCTGAAATGTCCGGCACGATACCTCTCCAATCGACAGACGTCTCTCCACGCTCTTCGTTGGACTCAACGCGCTCGGCATCTTCGTCATCATCATCTTCCAGCACTTTGTCAGCAGCTTCAAGATCATCGACCTCTCAAAAACGCCGACCGTCGTGTCTTCCAACCGTCTCTCAGCCATACTTATATGAAACGCCAGTCTCTTTCACTGGGCCACGGGGGTGCTCGTACGGAATGTACCGTTAGAGACGTGTGAGCAGCGCTCATGCTTTCGACCATGCCGGTTATCTTAATTTTGTCACACCTGGAGGTTGACGATATCATCCTCACCGTATCCCAGATGGGGAGATGACCCCAAACATTCCCTTGGAGATGAAGACATCCCATCTCCACTAGCCGTCCAGCCTTAATGAGAAGATCGGAAGTTATTCTCAGGGAAAGTCGATGGAAGCTGTGCCTGTGCTGAATATTCAGGTCTCTGGATGAGATTTTACGGCTTGGATATAGAGTTAGGCTGGAGTTGAATCGGATCAGACCGGTGAATATGTGGCGGTTGAGAGTACTTGGAAAAGTATTTCGTTTCGTATATGATACCCATTTACAAATTCAATGTTCTATCATTGCACTAGGATGCGTGAAATTATCGAAGTATGAAAGGAAAAGAAGTTTGGGAAATGCTCTCAGCTCAAGTGGCAGACAATTTCAATGGTTCCAGGGTGTTTGTATACGTCATACGCCAACGCTAACCAAAGTCCGGGCCAATGCGGAAGTCTTCCGCTTCCCATGCGCGTTGACATGTAATCTCACTAACTCTAATTCATCGAACATCGTGAAGTCGCATACTCTGAGGTCATCCCGACAGACCAGCCATGTTGCGCAACTTACTTTTCGCTAACCATGCAGCTATTTGCATTGCTGCCTCCATTGTCTCAAAAGCAATTCTGGGCCGTGATCCAGTCCATTTCCCCAAACAGCGGCATCATGCTCTAAGTTGATAACATAACTCCATCGGGAACATAGACTTCATCGACATCGGAACCGGGGCATGGACATCGAACCACCTTACCCGGCGGTTAGACGAGAGCCAGTGTGATCGCCGTCGTCTAACATGTCGCCATCCCCAGTGAGCTGTGGTGAACCCTCACCTGCGATAGACATCAACTAGTCCTGGCCTGGGTAAGTGTACTCGCCCACATCCCAATGCTCTGCTCGGAAGTGGGTGAGAAACACCACACCATGACCTTCAATGCTCACGTTGCAGACAGGGCAATGTCTGAGGCCTTGGTTCTGAACAGCTAAGCTCCACACTCTTGGAATATTCCGGCAGATATGCTTTCTCAACGACTTTTCGACATAAAGTTCCACGAGACCACGGAAACGAGAGTATTCTCTTTCCCATACAGCGCCCAAGGCTAAAAGCAACGCACAGTTGGCAGCACTCGGCTCCAGCGCTCTAAGAACGGTTGTCAAATCCTTGTACAGCTGCGTGGTGTGGTATTCCAACAATACCTCGGATGTTTCTCGACATATGAGCTGTAATGCTAGGGTCTGGGCCATTAGGGTAGCCAGATACTCCAGTCGCAATGGCAAGTCTTCAACGCACCGAGAACGGACGGTAATATCAGCACTACTCTTAGTTGCGAACACCACCGTTGGACAACATGGTGGTATAGTCACAGCCTGACCGGCACGCTGAACGAAGGCAATACCGTTTTCTAACTCATGGCATACACTTTTGTAGTTTGGCGCAAAATCTCCGGCAAGATCTATGAGATACTTGTTCAGCGTCGTCAGATTATGTGGCGTAGGCGGATACACGATGTATGCACGCACACCGGTAATAACATGTACAGTGCTGGTGCTCGTCAGAGCTGACGCCTTCAAGGCAAGCAGAGTACCATAGGGCATGATCGAAGTGGTGTCAATGGATGATCGAGTAAGCTTACTCGACGTCTCGTTGTGGCCCAAGAAATTTGTGAGACATTGGTCTACGATATTTGATCGGAACGTAAGCGTCGTTGCGTATGCGACATATTGTTGATCGTCCAGGTATTCCGCAAGCGTTCGAGCTATACTCTCCCGATTTGCGTCACCTCCTCAGAAACGGAGAAAAAGAGGAGGGGGCCTAGGGGGGGTACAATTGCGCTTCTTCGACCCGTGACTGGTGCTTCTCCAAGATCTTTCTCAGTGAGCGTGGGTGTAGCCGGCGAGCGCCTGTCTCGTACAGTGTTAATTCCGGCATTTTAGCAAGTTGGGAGGCACCATAGACAGCAGCAAAGCTCTGTACGGCGTTGCCACTCTCAGCACTAAGAAGACTGACGCGACCAGGGATTATAAGATCCGCGAACTCAGCTGCACAAGCAGCTGAACATGACTGAAGCTCGCGGATGACAGAATCGAGAGCCCATATGTGAAGGGTGGTCGATATCGCCTTGGAATTGCCTGAAATCATTGGCGTTCTACCCGGTTGTTGCAACTGCGGGGTCTAAGTTGGTGTGGGCGCAAAGACAAAGAAAGTGGTGAAGTGCAGCATGAGAGTACGGGTGTCAATGTCTGCACACAAGAATACTTGCACTAGCTTCAAGGCGAGTGAGCCAGCAACTCAATAGTGAAAGTGCCTCACACTTCTTACTCCTGCCGTGATCGAGCCATAGAGAGAAGGAACATGTCCGTCGCCGCGGAGGCGTTAGCCAAGATTAAGCTTAGTCAAGGAATACCCGCGGACACGCCATGCCGGGCTTTTCGAATCACCGTTACAGACGAGTATACGCAACATCCTCTGTGGAACATGTACGGATTAACAATAAATTCCCGCGGTAGGCGCTGTCGAATTCCGCGGAGCAGCGTCGAGCGGAAGAGGAAAGGGATTGTTTGACAACGTATATACCTCCTGACCATCTCCGTACCGTAACGAAGGTTCTCTCGGTATTTTTCCCGCACCAATTCGATCACAGCTGAATCCGCGACTTTCAACTTCACGTTTCTAGCCCCTCAGTACCATGTCGGACATGTCAGCCTCACAGCACGACAGTGAGAAGGCTCACAGCAGCGAAATTGCAAACGATCCAGTACCCGAGGATCCTGATATCGTCGACTTTGAAAAACCAGAGGACCCAGAAAATCCTATGAACTGGTCTTCTGGAAAGAAAACGACGCAGATAATCATCGTCACGTCCATGACGCTGCTCTCGTAAGTGACATACTTTCCACTGGCCCACCACTCTGAAGTATTTCTAGACCTATCGGTTCCACTATCAGCGCCGCTGCCACTCTGGATATCCTTGAAAATTTCAATTCCACGAACCAGACCGTCGGCACCTTGGTGACGACCATCTTCCTTATCGGATACACGTTTGGACCAATCGTGATCGCGCCACTCTCAGAATTATACGGCAGGGCTATCTTGTACAAGGTCTGCATTTTCTTCTTTGTCGTCTTTAACGTGGCATGCGCAGTGTCTGATAGCCTGCGCTCACTGGTTACATATCGTTTCCTGGCCGGCGTCATGGGTTCATGTCCTGTTACTCTAAGCACTGGATCGATTGCCGACATGGTGATAGCAGAGAAGCGTGCTGGAGCCATGGGAGCATACATTATCGGTGCTGTCCTGGGGCCGGCCATCGGTCCCGTCATTGGGGGCTATCTCACCCCAGCAGCGGGTTGGCGCTGGACCTTTTGGACTATGGCTATCGCAAGCGGTGTCATGACGGTGGTTTCCATCCTATTTGTACACGAGTCATACCCTTACGTCCTCCTTGAACGCAAGGCACAACGTTTGCGTAAGGAGACGGGCAATCTGCGTCTGCGGTCAACATTAGACACTGGGAGGATGCCGAGCAGTCTCTTTGTCTTCTCTATCACCCGTCCTTTGAAGATGCTCTTATCTCCGATCGTCTTCTTGCTTTCCCTCTACGCCGCTATCGTGTACAGCTACCTGTATCTCTGCTTCACTACTTTTGAGATTGTCTTCTACGGCCAGTACGGTTTCTCAAGCGGCGAGGCTGGCCTAGCAACTCTCGGCATAGGCATTGGCTCGGTCCTGGGATGCGTCGTTTGTGGTATAGCTGCGAATGCCGTTTCGAAGTACTTGACCGGAAAGCACGGTGGTGATCCAAAGCCAGAGTACAGACTGCCACCCATGATACTTGGTGGCTTGTGCACGCCGATTGGCTTGTTCTGGTACGGGTGGTCCGCGCAGGCTAGATTGCACTGGATTGTGCCTATTCTTGGCACCGTTTTCATTGGCATGGGCATGGTCTTCACCTATGTAAGGTCCCTCTAGCTGGCATCTCGGCGATTATTCACAGATCACTGGACTAACAACAGTTAGATGCCAAGCGCCATGTACCTCGTCGACGCATACACAGTCCATGCTGCTTCTGTGACAGCTGCAAGCACGATCTTCCGATGTCTCCTTGGGGCTCTCCTTCCGCTTGCTGGCCCTGCCATGTACGATACACTAGGCCTGGGCTGGGGTAATTCTCTTCTGGGTTTCATCTCCATTGCCTTTTTCCCGGTACCTTTCATCTTGTATCTTTATGGCGAGCGATTACGCAACGCCAAGGTTTTCAAGGTAGAGATTTGACTGGTTACCAGAAGCTTGAAACGGAGGTGGATATGTTGACTCTGGATATGTCGATACGCTGGGGTTATGCACTTGGTAGTCTAATCACTGTCTTTCGGTAATACCAAGTACCGTCAAAAACTACCGGTGATAACGCTCATCAGCTCGAACACGAATACCGGAAGAAGGAAAATCGCGGAGGATTATGCTCCTGGATATGGATGTAAATAGTGTCGACCTGTCGCAAAAGACAGGCCTCGCGCGGCTCTGTGCCATGTAAATTGGCTGCTGCTGTCACATCCCGGCCGGGTGTGTTGTGGTGTTTCGGCTGTCCATCCGTAGCCGGTTCCACATCGGCTATCCGCACTAAGACACCAAGCAACAGTGATTTCCTGTTCTGCGCGTCTTAGCTGCGTCAAGGCTGCACGCCAACAGGCTTAACGCGTCCCAACCAATGGCAAGCTCAGACGATCGCCGGCAGCACGGGCGCACGTCTCCACCAGCACCCACGGCGCCTGTCCTCTATCACTGTCATGATGGGCCTCGTTGCCGTTTGTGCCCTGCTACTGGCGCCGCTTAGGGAAGGCGGGATGCATTTACGGCAAGCGGGCGTCATGGAGATTGGAAGGAGCGATGGCTTGGTTCGCCGGTTTGTTTGTCTCGACGCGAGAGTTTCTTCGTCTTCTTTCTCTCAGCTGTCTCACTCTCGCTGTCGCTGGTGTTCACCTTCACGTCCGTTTACGCTTCCTTTCTCCGCTGTGCAGTCGTTCGTTTGTTCCTAGTCGACGCCATTGCCGCTCACTGTGCGCTTGTGGCGAGCTAGTGCATTTCTTTGATATTTGCTTGGAGCTATCGCGACATAATTATTCTGCAACTACAACCCGGTAAACGCAAACTACCGCAACGGTATACTGCAAGATGGTTCAAATGGTATCGCTCGGCCTATTGGCAGGCTTGAGCGCTGTTACGTCGGCTATTCCTACCATTGAAGTCAAGGGCTCCAAGTTCTTCACCAGCGAGGGCAACCAGTTCTATGTCAAGGGTATATCCGACGATAAGACTTGATGTGGCCGCACACTGACAATCGCGTCCAGGTATCGCGTACCAACTCGTTCCCGACGACCCACTCATCGATGCGACGCAATGTGGTCTCGACTCTGCGCTCATGAAGACCATCGGTGCCAACTCGATCCGTGTCTACCACGTCGACCCTGACTCCGACCACACCGAATGCATGAAGACATTTGCGGATGCTGGAATCTACATCTGGGTCGATCTCGACACCTTCGATACTCAAGTTGAGCAGAACACTCCTCGTTGGGAGACCGACCAACGCGATGCTTTCGCCAAGGTCATGGACGAGTTCCACCAGTACGACAACACTGCTGGTTTCTTCATTGGCAACGAGGCCATCACCACCGCAAACGGCTCCGTCACCTCACCCTACATCAAGGCCGCCGCCCGTGACATGAAGGCTTATCGCGACGAGAAGGGCTACCGCAGCATACCAATAGGATACTCTGCCGCCGACATTGCCAGTCTCCGTCCTATGCTGCAGAACTACTTGGCTTGTGGCGACAATGCGTCTGAGCGTCTCGACTTCTTCAGTCTCAATGCCTACTCTTGGTGCGGACAGAGCTCCTACCAACAGTCTGGCTACGATCAGCTTGAAAAGAACTCGGAGGATTTGCACATCCCAATCTTCATGTCAGAGACTGGTTGCAACACGGCAAGGCCACGCGATTTCAAGGACCAAGAGGCTCTTTTCGGAGAGATGGCCGACGTCTGGTCTGGCAGCATCATCTACGAATGGATCGAAGAGATGAACGATTACGGTCTCATTAGCTACGGTCCCAAGGTTGACCCTGCTCAAGCACCGGATGGTTTCCCTCGCTCAGGTATGCTCTGCGTTCTGCACTCTTCAAAGAACCTCGACTGATCAAACGCAGGAAAACCTACCCCAGTGGAACCGGATTTCCCCAACCTCTCTGCTGTTTGGGCTACATTGAACCCTACCGGTGTAAAGGCGGCGGACTACAACCCCACAAACTCCCCTGTTGTCTGCCCCGACTTCACTACCTCGGTCTGGGAAGTCAACCCCACGTCGCCCCTGCCCACACTGGGCCAGAAGCACGACTTCAACGGAACACCCACGTCTGGAAGCTCCAGCGCAACGGCGACTGGAGGCTCTGGGGCGGAAGAGTCCGGCTCTTCAGGAACTGGATCTGACAGCGCGGAGACATCCGCACCTCCTTCCACTGGTGCTGCGGCGGATGCTCTGGGCAAAGAGCTCAAGGGAATGGGTGCACTATTTGCTGGTGTTATGGCCGTCTTTGCATGGCTCTGAGTGCGTTGAGAGTTGCATTTTCGAAACGTTACCACCATGCCACGTGTCTTCGACCTTTGTGGACTTTGATGAAGACTTTACGGAAGACCATGTTTAATGATTCGAGTACATATTTGACGAAAAGATTATCGGTCCACCTTCGCATGTAGGATTAGGATAGTAGAGTACTAAGAGAAGCTATCTTGATGTTTTACTCTTACAAATCAATCACTGCATGACCTGTCGATACATGTTCTTCATATACTTCCAGCGTGAGCATCAAGTTTTAGGGCTCTACAGAGGCGACCTAGTATGGGATTAGCAGGTTCTTCACTCTCACATCAAAGCATGGTAAGGTTGAGAAATTGTAGGCAGAATAGTCATGGAGCAAGGTTCGCATTGAAGGACTGGGCGCCAATTAAGTACAACCCGATCGCCAGCACAGGGCTTTCCCCCATACATTGTATGGATATCTTTCCCTCATAAGCGCGTAGCATTGATCATATCCCTCAACACGTTCCCATCCAGACATAGCATGGTTATATCTTTGAGTCGTTGTCAAATGGTCTCATATTTCCTTTTCCTTTTTACTCCTACGCCGCCGGCACATGCCAGGTTGTCAAAGACAGGGTATGTAAGAGAAGCATCGACGAAACGGGTCAAGACATCTACCACTGGGTAGTGGTAGCAGGGGCAGCGGTCTCGGCGCCCCAGCCCTCGTTGCCAGTCTGAGCATCGCCAGACGCAGCCCAGTCGGCAGTATCAGCGTCCCAGCTGGTACCGGGGGCAGCGGCAGCCTGTGCAGTGAAAGCACCGGCAGATGCGCCGGAGACCTCCCACTCGCTAGTGAAACCATCAGCGACGGGGCCAGCACCAACCTCGTCGGCACCGGGGACCTTGGCCTCCTCGACACCAGCGCTGTCCTTGTTCTCCTCAGCCTCGGGGTCGCGGTAGAAGTACAAATCAGTCATGACGTCCCACTCAGTCTCGCGGTTGGCGAGGGTACCGCGGAGGCGGAGGACCTCACGGGCAAGCATCCACCAGATGAGACCGATGGCGTGGCGACCCTTGTTGTTGGTGGGGATAGCGACATCGACGTACTCGGTGGGCGAGTCTCCGTCACAGAGGGCCTATTCTAGGTTAGTCTCCGTATCCCTTTCCTGATTCTACACGAGATGCTTACAATGACGGGGATGTTGACGTAGGAAGCCTCCTTGATGGCCTGCGCGTCGGTGCGGGGGTCGGTGACGATGACCAGGCGGGGCTCACGGAACGAACGGGTGATGTAGTTGGTGAAGTTACCGGGAGTGAAGCGACCGGCGATGGCAGTGGCACCAGTGTGGGAAGCGAACTTCAGGACGGCACGCTGTCCGTAGGGACGAGCAGAAATGACACAGACTATTCATTCAGTGTCAGCCAGAGTCCGCGTGTGCCAATGATCGCATCTTTCAAGATTAAACATCTCGAATTGCGCGAGTGAACGTACTGTCGGCCGGGTTGTCAATGGCGACAATGATGCGCGCGGCGAGGACAATCTTCTCCCAGGTCTTGCCAATGTTCAAGACGTTGACACCGTCGGGCCTGGTCTTCCACAGGTAAGGCTCCATGTGCACCTGGAGGTTCTTGGAACCGAGGTGGCACTGAGCAGCGAGGAGCATCTCAATGTCCTGCTGGGTGGGGTTGAAGATGGCGGGGAGGTTGGAAGGAGCCATTTTGACGGTTTGGCGCTGTACGAGCTGATCGGTATACAGAAGTTGTCGGGTTGCGTGCGAGAGACTGAGTCGACGAACTTTCATGTTCGCGATATTCGCATCGTGGTGGGAGCGGCTAGCCCGAAGCAGACTGGCGCAATGACGCGCCGGCATCGGCAAAACCAGTCGCCGGCCATGGATCCGCAAAAGATTCGAGGGTGGTGGCAGCGAGAGTGCAGCCAGCAATGCCGCCGCGAATACCAGCCTTGTCGTGCCTGCGGGCGCCGACGTGTATGTACAGGCTGTCATCGAATCGTCATTCACACTGACATCTCCCTAGCTTTTCCCATCACCAATCAACTCACTCTCCCCATCCGAACTTTCGCCTCCACGCCGTATGTGTACGCCGAGTCAGCCGAACGACAGAAGAAGCGCCTTGCGAACGATCCCTACATTGTCGCTCAGCGGAATAGGAAGAAGGCTGCCAACCTTACGCGCCGCGCTGAGCTCGAACAAGGTCGTGTAGCGAGTCTCGGAGACCCGGTCCGTGGTGTTGCAACACCATTCGTACAATCGTTCGATACCGGAAAGCCAATTACGTACGAAGAGGGCAAAAAGATACCGAAAGACCGGAAACACCTCAACTATGCCTTTGAGCCCAAGACGGTTGAGCAACAGTTGCAGAGGAGCAAAGACTTGGCTGTTCCGCTGGGTATAATTGAGGAGACCACGGCGCCCACAACTAAATGGTCCAATGATATATTCAGCAAAAGGGCTCAGGCGATACAACTGTCAGCCGAGGAAATCGAGGAGCAAAGCAAGAAAGACCATGCTCGAGCCGCTGAGGCTATCGCCCGCATCACCGCTCTTGAAAACGGATCGAGCAAAGATCGCATGCGTGTGAACATCACACGTTGTGTAGAGACATTCGGGCGCCACAACACCGATAGGATATTCCCACCTAAGGCGCCATCATTGAGCCGGTCCGGTGCCGACGAAGTCCGCACCTTACGCCCAGAAACAAACGTTGCAGCAACCGCAAAGCGAGTTGGACCTGATACCGGGTCGTCCGAAGTCCAGATCGCCATCTTGACAGCAAAGATCAAGACACTGGCCGACTTTCTACAAGCCCGAGGAAAGGGCGACAAGCACAACAAGCGAAACCTGCGATTACTGGTGCACAGGAGGCAGAAGTTGCTACAGTATCTGAGACGGAAAGAGAGGGGTGGCCCGAGGTGGCAGCATTGTATCGAGACTCTTGGATTGACTGAAGGTACCTGGAGAGGCGAGATATCGTTGTGAGAGCAACCGAATAGATCCTGTTCCTCATCCTGCGTTCTTGTCCTACCACGTCTCACGATTGCATCGACGAATTGTAGACAAATGCATCTGCTCACTATGAGCATCTTCGCACATGTATATTATGAGTTGTCAAAGTACCCTTGTATGTATACCGCTAAACGAGGTGGATCAAGCCACGCTTGTGATTGTTGTCTCGCCTTCCCACCTTCCCAATTCAACCAAGTCTAGTCCCGCATTACTTCACCCAGCTCTTGCGACTATGAAGGGCGCAATCACGTGAAGGGCGTAAATTTCAGGCGTCCTCTAAAGGCATGCATCGCTCTATACGGCTTCGTACCGTGAGGCAGCAACATTGCCAAAGCATACATACCTGCGGGCATCACACTGTCGTAAGTCCGCTTCCTCCTTGGTGATCCCAAGAAGCTCGCTTCACTCCGCATCATCATAATGTCTTCCACACCACCAAACCCGATGCCCCAATCAAACCCATGGTCCAGTCAACGCCTGCACTACCGCGCGATCCGCCCCAACGACATAAATGTCTTCCACGCGTTCAGCGCCGATTACACCGGCTTCGCGAACAGCAATTTCGACAACATCAAACTGCCCAGCCCCTCCGACTCTGAAAAATTCATGAAGGGGGTACAAAGTGACTGCCTTATGGGTGCCATCATCTGGCTGCCTCACCCACCACAAACAAGCTCTATGAGCGACGAGGAACGTGAAAAGGAGTTTGCGCAACGGAGGAGAAATGGAGAGGTTGTGGATGAGGAGTATGGCACGGCTGTGGGGGAGATTCATATGGATATGTTGCCGGCCCATAAACAACATCATCGGAATACTGAGATTGGACTTGATATCCTCCCGCCGTATCAGGGGAGAGGGTATGGGTCTGAGGCTATTAGATGGGCGCTTGATTATGCGTTTAGGCGAGCGGGTCTGCACCGAGTCAAAGTCAGAGGATTCAGCTGGAACGAAGGCGCCCTCAGACTGTATGAGAAGTTGGGATTTGTGTTTGAAGGCAGAGAGAGGGAGAGTGTGTGGCATGAGGGGAAATGGTGGGATGTTGTCACGTTGGGCATGCTAGAGGGGGAGTGGCGAGCTACTCGAGAGTAGAACCCACATGCTCATATACTACCATGACATAAATGGTGTGTAGATAGTAATGACTGAATGTAGCAACAGTATCCTGTGTTTCTCACATCCTCTGCTCGTAACTCAAGGCATATTGTACTGCAAGCCACCGCTGCTTACATCCCTGATCAACATCGTCGCATTATTGGCCCGTTTCTCCGCGGCGTCGTAAAGCGCTTGGATATCCTGCTTCCACATAGTCTCGTTCATTCGAATGACCTTCCTGTCATAAGTCATCATACCGTTAACCTCCCCTTCCACGTCCGTGGTCTGCGTCCAGACACCGCCAGAGCAAGCAAAAAGATCGATCTGCTCGCGCAATTGGTTGAGCAAATCGTGGCAGCGGTAATTCCACCAGTTGGTCCCGTTGGTAAGCTCGTATGCGGTCTGCTTCTCTAGATCTTTGAACCAGGCGTGGGCGTAGTTGTCTTCGGGAAGTTGTGTGCCAATGCCGCCGAACTCGCCTTGCAGACCAATGCGCGAACTGTCGTAGGCAGAATCGTAGTTGTTGCCTTGGCGGGACCAGAATGGCGTTCCGCACTGTGGTGTAGAGTAGTGGTGGTTGTCGTCGAAATCGCCAGCTGTATGGTCGGTCCAGCCACTTACTGCATTGACTAAGCGGGTGGGATCGATCTTTCTGACCATGTCCGTCAATCCAAACTCGGGCCACGGAGGTCCGCTCGTCTTTTGGCCCCATTCTTCGTTGTAGATCGTCCAAGCAAAGATACTGGGATACGATTTGAGCTGCTCTACCATCAAAGCCAACTGCCGATCAAACTCGTCCTGCGCATCTTGGCCTGCTAATCGCTTACTGCCACAACCGTCCGGTAGATCTGGTCGCAGAGAAGGCATGTCTTGAATGACCAACATCCCCATCTCATCGCAAGCTCTGTAGAACAAGGCCGGTTCCACTTTGATGTGCTTACGTACCATATTGTAGCCAACATTCTTCAGCACCTTGAGATCGTACACCATGGCTTCGACACTCGGGGGCGTGTAAATTCCGTCTGGCCAGTACCCTTGATCGAGCGTACCGAAGGGGAAAACAAACTTTCCGTTCAGGAGTGGGCGCTGTATGCCGTTGATAGTACCACGGGAAACAGTTCTGAATCCGGTGTAGCTTTTAATGGTGTCGCTAGCCATCTTGATGGTCACATTATACAGGGTGGGACTGTCCGGGGTCCACAGTTCTGGTGATGGGACGTTGAAGGTAAATGCGGATCCGCTAGTACCTTTCGCTGTCGCCTTGGCGTCAGTTGAGCCCAGTTCATGGACTGTGATCTCGTATGGGATATTTGTCAGGTTGGTGCTGCTGTGAACAGTCACAGTCACTTCGATATGTTAGCGATGACCATCAGAGAGCATGTTTCATATTTACCAGTCCCATCCATATCCGCTGCTAGATCCAGTTTCGAAACATGCTCTTTCGGTGTTGACTCAAGCCACACGGTCTGCCAGATACCACTGCATGGTGTGTACCAGATCATCCCCTCTCGGTTCAACGTTTGCTTTCCGATCGGTATTTGGACCATGTCCACATCTGTCGGATCGAAGGTGTATACCAGCCTGTGATGACCTTAGCTTTGTCTCCAATCCCCGGTTTACGATACTTACAGTTCGTTCGTTCCATTTGCGCTCAGGTATTGCGTCACGTCTACACTGAACTCGAAGTATCCACCTCTGTGGAAGCCAGCATTCTTGCCGTTCACAAAGATAGTGGCCTCATAGTCAACAGCGCCAAAGTTCAGGATGACGTTGTTTCCGCTAGGCCATGATGATGGCACTTCGAATGAAGTCTGGTACCAACTCCACATGCGACCCTTACCTGTCACACCTTGGCTGCATCAGTAACCTGCCTAGTCGAAAGTCTGGGTTTCCTTACCTGAGAGAGCACTCTCAAGGCAGAAGGGAACTAGGACCGGGTTCTCCAGTGTCTGTCCGAAAGGTGGTGATGCGTCCGAACCATTTGTGGTATTTCTGTATCCCCACACGCCGTTCAAGTTTTTCCAGTCTGGTCGCTGTAGGCGTGGTCGTGGATACTCTGGCCATGGGTTGGTACCCACTGTGTCTGTCCACCCTGTTTTAAGCGGAGTATATCCAACCTTGTAGTCTGTTCGATTACTTTGACGCGGATGAAGTGTATTGACAGTGGCAGCAACGTCTGACCACGTCAACAACCCTGTAAGAAGCCCAAAGCTGAGCTGCATGATGAAGATATCGGTTGGCAGGTGCGCATCCAAGATGCCGTAAGGAACCGTTGAGATGCAGAGGATGTTGGCGGCTTTTAAGCCATGGGTGGGTTCATGACAACATGGTTTAATGGTACCTGTGACGGCTCTGCAGCTGCACATTGATATCCTTAGTTCTGGGAATAGCGGCGGGATGATCCTGGTGGCTGCACACCGTCGATGATCATGCTACTACTGAGGTAGCTCGGCGCATGTTTGGACAAGCCAGAGTAGTCGCGTGGCCGGGCCGGCTGATCTGATGCATGGCGTTCAGTATGCGTTTGCAGAGCATTCGGTTACTGCATGAGCCTGGCGCCTTGGAAACGACAAGGCTGACGGTGGAAGTCGAAGAGGTGGTTGTACGTCAACATCGTGGATGCATGCCTGACGCTTACGTACCTGCAGAGTGTCAGACGCATTGACGTAGGGGAACGATTCTGATCAGCTGCGATCAGCGTCTTGGCTACAGGGCCGGTAGATTCCCCGCACCATACGGATCAAATGGGGCCGGATTCCAAGTTCGGACCAGCGAACAATGACCCGAAGGTCGAATACAGGCCTTGTGAACAATAGCACGTTTAGAGGTTTGACGGCAAAATTGCTGAGATCCGCTTTGAGGGAGTTAAAGAGGTAACAATGTCGATGCTATACCTGCGCAATGGACATGAAGTTGTTGGCGATAGCCTGACCAGAGTAGTACAGCCGTGGGATGCGGGGATGCCCCGCCTCAGCAAGTGCGGGTGATGAGACAAGCGTCAGGTTGCGATGATCTCGTATGCGGCTCTCACTCAGGAACCAAGAATCTGCAGATACTCGTTAAAAGGTATTAGGTATATTCGTGCTACGTTGTAGGAAACTTGAACAGTAAAATCGCCGAGTTGTGAGGATCGTACAGGGCACGCGTATGTCTGTGTAGGTGTGGGGCACTTCACATGTGCTGTTGTTCACTACATGCCTGTAACATCGGCACTCCCTAGCCGTATGCATGCCCGCCATTCGCATGATAGCAGTGCCCAGGTCGCTCACCACCTTCCTATTTCTCTTGCGATATCACCCTGTGCCGTAAGGTTGGTACCGCCACGTGCCACCCAAGACTGCACTGCATACAACCCCGCAATCTATAGCAACCTCGCGGATGTCTGAGTATGCTCAGATGATGAAGATGCAAGAGGAGGTTGAACGCGATGCCTGCTCGAGTCTAACATTATGGGTCTCGATTCTGCAGAATCTTATGGCATCAGCATGAACGGCTTGCTCCACGACTTTCCCTTCGTGGCTGATGACGTCGGTCTAGAAGGGCTTGAAGGGCTTGAAGGGCTTAGAAACATTGGTGACATCGGAGAACGTGGTGATGTCGGTGAAGTGGGAGAGCCTGGTGGTAGCGGAGCTTCCCTCGGTGAGTCATATGCTCTACCAATATAGGCTTGTGTGGCTATGGGTTCTACCGTTTTTATCGAGGCGCTATCATCTTCTTCGATGCCGAACAAGGTGGTTCGGTCGGAATACGAGTTCAGTATCGAGCTTACACGCGTCGTGCTCGAGCGTATGGTATCCGCGTCAGAGGTACTCGAACTCGTTGAAGTCATTGTCGACATTGTCATTAGCGACGCCCTATCCGAGCCGGAATACGACGATGCCGCTACTCCTATATCATGTTTATGAGCGCCGCAGTGGATGTCGGGTATGGAGGTGTTTTCAAAGAGAATATCGAAGATCTTGTCGCGAACATCGCGCGCCGCAGGGCGAAGCATGGGTGCTTTGCTCAGCATACTTCGTATGACCTGTAATATGGGGGGAATCGCACGGAACGCGTCGTCATCATGCTCAAATGAAGCCTTTTCGAGTGAATTCATCCAAGTCTCTACCTTGTCAAGATTGACATGATACGATGAATCTGTCCGAGAGTTCTTGCCGCCAGTATTGGTCCTTTGCTTCGACGTGCGGTGCTTTACGAAATCATGGGACTTCTTCTTCAGCATGAATGTGATGATCTCCAGGAAAACACAACCAAGCGAGAACACATCTGCCTTCTCGGTTTCGTGCACCCGCGACCGTTTCTTTGGTGTTGGCTTCGTCTTCGACTTCTTGAATCCAAAGTTGAAACCGGAAAAGTCCGTTGTAGGTGCTTTGGTCAGCTTCTGCCGTTGCGAGTTATTACTGCCGGATGACCCAGACGAACTCTTGCTAATCATCGAAGCATGTCGACCGTTTGGGATAGTGGGTGAAGGTGCAGCGTCATTGGGGTCGAAAGGTTCTGTGCTGATGTGTGTCTCTGGCGCACTGTATACGTAAGCGTCCATTGCGTCGGGCTTCTTGTCTTTTTGAAACGTCTCAAGGCTACCGATGTCGCTGAATGCTATTGCATTCTGCTCGTCAACTAGAATATTTGATGGTCGTATAGCGGAGTGACAGAATCCGTTCTGATGCAGCGTTGCAATGGCATCTGACAGACAGTGCAGCCAATTGAGTACCAGCCATCTCCGGTCAGGTTTCAATAGCTTCTGGTACTGAGTCGGGTTGCGGTGATCGATGAAAGTACGAAGAGTATGCTGCCCTACAAAGTTGGTGACGATGTAACCAACAGCTTTGGAGGTATACGAGGCCCAGATCGGCGCAAGGTGCTCATGCTCGACCATCCTTGCGCTCTCGACATCCATCTTGAAGTCTTCTTCGAACGCATCCGGTGTTTCTGGGTCGCCCAGCGGAAACCGCCTGCGAACGTAAATCTCCTTTGGCTTCTTCGGTAGGTGCATACGTTGCCAAGCCTGTAAGCTCACTGCCACTGGCAGAGACATTACGTTCTCGACTGGGATTTCCTCATTGGGCGCATAATCGATGTGTATGCCTTCTCGGAGTTCTCTCAGGAGGAATGTAAACTGTGTGTGGTAGAAGCGAGCATCGGCGTGGTTATCGCGGCGATTTGAAAGCGAAAGCTGCTCAATGTCGTCCATTTCCAGAGGTAAATCATCGTCGTCCCACGATCTGTCAACAACAGCGAAGATCCTATCCGCTTCACCAATCTCGACCAGTATTAGGAATAGTCGTCTTGCTTTCTCCAGAATCCATTCGATGTAGGTGTCGTCGCTCAGATCGCCAAAACCGACAGGTTGGTTGAGACGTTGCCTTTCCTGCGGTTGCAGCCTTGAAGTGACGAATTCATGGTTGACCTTTTCGTTGATTCGCTCCTCGGTCCACCATATCTGCTGCAGAGCGTGCTGTGGGGTGACGAGGCTGTGCCCAGCGTATCCATAGATCAGGGCGTTCAAGGCGACCGTTTGGTCGTTGACGACGTTTGTCAATGTCCTTGCACTCATTGTGCCGATTGATGGGTTGTGGTGGAGCTCTTATGCCTGCGAGCCCCGCGTGTTAGTACAAGACACGAGTCGCGCACCCAGTGGTGAGCTGGTGATCATCTCCAGTGAGAAGAAAATTGGACGACAGGGAGAGTGGCCGTCAGGCTTCAGCAAGTATGGAGTAAGACAATGCTGTTGTCAGGCGTCAGCGGGGCCAGAAACATCGGCTGTTGATTGTGGTACACAATTTGATCCGCCTCTCGGAACGCCTCTGGTTGTGGCAAGCGGCATGGCGACGAATACATGGCGTCGGGTCGCCGCTTAGAGGCCAATCACCAGAAGAAGGGCAATAGCAGGCGCATGCTTGAGCGTCGTTGGCATAGGGCGAGGTAGGGCCTTTTGCCTGGAAAGGTCTGCGTGGCCCCGAAAGCGGCCGCCATGTGCAACGTGACCAGGGTGTTTCCAGGCGGAGGGTTGATAAGACATGGTGCATCAAGCGAATTACAGACGCAGGGAGACGGATGCTAAACTAGCATACCAATAAGTTTTGCGGAGGGCCGTTCCTGGAGCGGGGCGCATCGCCTTTAGCAGTGGGCGGTGGCAGCTATTGTGCACGCCAATCCTCCCCAAGGGCGGCTAAAGGTGTGAGTGCAGTATATCCCCAGGCTCTAGTTTTCCGTCTAGCTTGGTGTTGCCTACGCAGCTGTAATCTCGCGATGTTTCTGGTCATGTCGCAAGATCGAAAATTGGGCAAGCTCCACCTGAAGCTCGTCGCAATCACGGGTAGGCTGATGGTGCTGACGGAGGCGAATCAGCACCTAGATGCGGCTCAATTTTGCATCACCCGATGCTCATGGCGCGATACCGCTCGCAGTCGCTATCATACAGTAGCACCATGCAGGCGACTGGCGGCGATTGGAGATAGGATACACCCGGTCGGGATGTCAGAACCGAGGCTACACAAGATGCCAACTCGACATAAGATGAAATGACGCCCTTGATGGATGAAAGCAGATTGCGGCGTGGCCGTGGAACAGCTGTGTAGACGGCAACATCTCGGCTTGATGGCATGAATGATTACTGTACTGGTGGAATGGCGTCTGATGGCGTGCGAAGACGGCGCAATGACTCGCGACCGGACGCCTGAGGCGAGCTGTAGTTTGGGGCGTCCGGGCGCAGCGGAAGCACAACAGAATGTGGCGTTGCACAGACAGCTGTCGGTCGCCATCCATGGATCCTTCAGACGCACTTGCATGAAGTCCAATGTCGGTGACTCTTTCTAGACGCGGCGATTCGATCGCTGGGCAGAGGAAGCAGCTCTGAAGGCGGCAATCTGCGACTGCCACTTCGCGACCAGCCCTGGAAAGCACGGCCGACCCCACGTCTCCCAATTTGACGGTTCGCCCACAATTTTTGCGACCACTGCCAATTCACACGTGCGCTGTCAGTTTCCACGTCGACTTGAGCAATGATCTTCCGACGTACAGCTGCTAGTCGTTAGGTACCGAAGAGTGCCCGTCGGACGGGTTCAATTATCACCAAAAAGAGCAGTGAACAAAGATCATCTCAAATTGTTCTGCCGCACTTGTTATCAAGATCTTTTCACAAATCTGCATACTGGAAGCATCCACCCGCTGCGTTCCTGGGACGACTCCTGATACCGACACATTGCAGTCTGCTCCGATCCATCTGAGGTGCTCTACTTTTCTATACTTCTAACTCATCTTCCATTTCTCAAGCAGGGTTGATGGAAAAGAATATGTTCCCCTCGCTCGGAGCTTTGGTGAGCTGATTGCCTCCTGGATGAATACCATTCCGCCACACAATGCTACCCCCATTATCGCCAGTAACATCTAATCGGCTACCAGCGAATGGTGCCCCAAAGACAGTGCTGAGATCGTACCACACCGTCCCGCCATCCAGATTGTATGCCCACACCTGCTGAGGAGCACCGGAGTTTAAACCATCCGCCTCTTTCGTCATCTTGATCGCAATGCCTCCAGACTTTTCGTCATGGCGCATCTCCTCCCAGTAGATACCGCCTGTGGCTGTCAGTTGAAGACGAAGCCAAAGCTCGCATGTGTCTGACCAGCTTTGATGTCATTGCGAGGACCGACTGTGCCACCGACAGACCAAATATAGATAGGCTCTGGTGAATTGTTCAAAACGACAGCGATGCCGGCAGCCCTGACTGAGGTTACCAGGGCCAAGAGGCTGGGGATGACGAGGCGCATGATGTACGTTGTGTCCAAAGCGAGGGTGGTGAACGAGCGACTCCGATAAAATGTGAGGCCAAGCAAAAGATGCCTCCACGACAGAGCGACAGTGCAACTCGTAGCTTTCACTTCTCCGTTTTATACCGCCTTCAGCCATCGTCAAAGTCCCTCCAGCAGCCCCACGACTGGCCCGCAAGTCCTCATACGAGCATCACTCACGCGTCGACTCCATACTAAACAGTCCACGAAGCCGTGCACAGGACGACATATTCCTATGCCAGTATGTATAGACCAATCCAGAGGTTCGCTTTCTTCCGACCAAGGTTACACGGCAGATGGACAAGCATGTGTGTTATGGCTCTGTACTGCCTTCGGATAATTTCAATACTCCGATATATTGCTCGGTTGGCGGCACATGACGATGTGTTGGTTGGCAATACATTTAATATGGCTGTTTGGGTTTATCGGACGAGAATGGGTTTGGCTCGCTAGTCGATAACAGCAGACCATGTTTACCGATGCATCCTTGCAGCAGCGTCGCTGAATGAGGCTTTCGAGTTGAACGGTCCATTGTGTACAATGCCGTTACTGCCTTGCATACGATACATTAGCCGAGGGTGATTTTGGTATTGGCGATCTGCTGGCCGCAGACACTGCCCGAATTATCGGGCAGCAGCTTTACAGCTTCAATACATCGTGCAGTTTGACTGTTGCAATATTCTCCAAGGGAAGTTCTGCTTAAAGACTCGTGGGGCCAACCCTCACCAAACCTCCGATATTGAAATAAAGATAAGCTTAATGCTCAGACTTGGGGTCAAGTCACGCTGGAGTACACGCAGTTGTAGTAAGGTCAGACCTTTGGATATTAGGCGACCGGTATGCTTACTAGGTAGATCTTTTGTGCGGGATGTGGAGTGATGTGTTGACTCGAAGGAGACGATGAGCAGACCAGCAGCATATTTCCTGGTTCAATGAAGATTGCAGTGCGTACCAGTCGAGACTGGCAGCTACGGCCTGCACCAGTCTTATCTGGTTAGCGTCTTGGCATTGCGATCCGTCAGGTCATCGACATTCCACACTTGAAACAACTTCAGTAGCCATGATGACGCGCTATCGTTGACTGTCCCCGACACTGGGATATCGTCATTTGATCGTCTACTCGACAGTTTGTATTCTCTCGAAGTGACGCGTGAGGACAGCATTGATCATTTTGCAATTGCGGGCCGATGGGACTGCGATACCTGCGTCGAAAGAACTCAAGGCACCGGCGTTTCTATGCTGTTGATTCGCGGCTCACTACCATGGCTTCGCATGTGCTTGTTGAAACCGCGATGCTGCGTACGCAACGGCTGTACACGAACTCCGCCCCGCTGCTTTGCGTTAGAATCAGCATAGCCCGAACGCCCGACTCCGAAGTCTGCCAATCACGACAACGTTTAGCGCGACGGGCGAAAGGTCCCATGCTTCAGGCTACTACGTGACAGGATATGGTTTGCCCCGAGTAGTGTCAATTCATGATTGTATACGCGGCTCTCTCCTTACATTTCCCACATAAACTAACAAAGGCGTCTTTTCGTCTCAAGATTCAACAGCATCCAAGGAAGAAATCAAACCTACATCATGGCTCCCACAAAGGACGACTGCGACTGCCCAAGTCCAATCCTATGGGTATTCCCCGAGCCCGGCAACCAGGATCTGATGCCTAGCAAGCACCCCCAAAGCTCTAGCTTCGAGATCGAGCAGTACCTTGAGACTTCCGCTCACGTCCCACCTACTTCCGGCTTTGGCGCCGTCCCCGTGTACATCAACGACGTTATCGAGCCTACCTGGCCTTGGGATTCCAACGTTCCCGCTGCCAATCATCGAAACCTATACTGCAAGCCTTGTCAGCAGAAGAATGAGGATAACATAACTCAGGGAGGGTTTGACTGGGAGTCTTGCTGTAAGTCCGTTTCACAGCATACGATGGATTGCAGCACACAGTCTTGATATGTATGACAAGGCAGCTCTGACCATCACGCTAGATGAGAAACCGGGTCATGGTGGAATATGGTCTACGAGCTTCGACGTGATGGGATCAGGCATGGCTAAAGTCCCGATCAAATTTGAGTTCACGCCTGAGGCGGATACCATGGTCTGCGCCTTGGGTTTTCCTGGCACCCTGGAGGGAGGCCTCTCGCAGGCTTTCCCGGTTGTCAACAAGCAGCCACCATCGGACAGAGGACGGCAGATCTTCACAGAGATTGATCCTGAAGGGGTACCGTATGAGGATGATAAGTTAGCCCCATGGGGACTGCACTACATCATCGGCGTCATGCTGGTGTTTGCGCTTTGCATGGCGTTCTCTGCTCGGATTTTCTGGCAGAAGCGGAAGCAAAGGAAGGCGTCGCAGGCTCTGATGGCTCAAGCTGAGAGCGATGGTCAGATGAATGGTAGCAAGACGAGATATACCGACGATATATAGGCTGTTAGATGCTCAACTGAGTGGGGTCGTCATGCGTCCAACACGCTTGGGGAACATAATTGTAGCCATAGTAGCGTTATACGATGCATGAGGATTCAACTCTTCTCCCATTGATATAGCTCACTTGATATACAGCTGTTTCTGGCGTGGGTGGAGAAGTTGAGAGACAGGCTAAAATTAGTAGTGCAGGTGTGGGGTGGGCTAGCTGCGGGAGACGGCAAGCGGAGCGTCCCAATCCAGACCGGCCGGCGTCGCGACTTCCAGGTTGACGTGAACAACGCAGCTGAGACTCCGCAAACACCTGCCATTCCATTTTGGTCCACTTTCTGGGTAGCGTAGCGTTCGCATTATTATCTTTCGTTTCCTTTCTCTTCCCTTGCATTTAGGCAAAAGTCTCACAGGTGGACGCGTAGAATGGCGTCCCCTATGCTTGAGAGTCGCATCGAACCGCACAAGAAGGCACACTTCAGCCTTCATATCAGCGACCGCATAACAGGCAGCGACGACGCGCCAGGAGAATTTAGCGGCGTCAAATGTGAGTCTGGCCTGCAATATCTATGTCCTTGTCCGCCTTCTAATTCAGAGGGTAGACAACCACAAGCCCCCACAAACATCCGACTCGCGCTCTACAACGCTTACTTCGCCCTCGTCGACCGGCCTATACAACCTCCGCATCGACGATACGAGCAGTTCGGGCAACAAGGATATCTTCACATTCACAGGGCAGAAGTCACAACTCAAGAAGTCATACGTCCTCGTCTTCGATCCCGCCAGCCAGCAGGCCACGCTCGAGCCTCTGTCCAGCAGCTACACCTTCAATCTCGCCACCAAGAACGGCAAGGACGTCTCGTCACAACACGCCAAGATATATCCCAAGAAACTCAAGGATGACGCACAGAGCAAAGATGGCGAAGAGGATCTCTTCGGTGAGGCAGCGGCCGACGGCGACGGAGGAGACCCTGATGCAGACAACCCCTACGACTTCCGACACTTCTTGAGCAAGGAGAAAGAGAAACGGGGCGACGAGTCCGAATACCGGTACGCCTCTTCGCCAGACTACCGGACGGGCACAGGCAGCGCCGTCAATACACCACAGTTTGGGGCCCGCGCATCTGCGACTGCTGCTCCAGCGCGGAAGGCTGCTGCTATACCAGCGCCCAAGAAGCGCAAGACGGCGGCAACGAACCCCATGGTCAAGCCTAAGAAGACGCAAGCCACACCAGCCGTCCGTCTCCAACGCACCGCAACCGATACGACACCAAAGGCCAAAGCCAAGCCCGCAGCACCGCCAGCGTCGAGAATCAAATCCTCCGAAGTCATACACTCGTCTGACGAATCCGACGGCGATGCAGCTTCCTCACCAGCCCATCCATCGCCACCTCGCCAACAACACCAGCAACAACACGAGTCAGACGACAACGACGACGACGACGACGACGCAGAGGGCGAGTCAGACGATGATGGTGGCCTCGAGATCGAAGTGCCCGATGCACGACCACCACGACACAACAAGGGCGCCATGGCATCTCTCGGCTCAAACCTTAACGCAGGTTACCTCCGCTCCCCCTCCAACGGCCCGATATCGCTCGCCAGCGCCGCCAACAGCGACGGCGAAGGCTCGCCGAACCCACGCCGCAACCGCAACGCCCAAGACGAGATTGACTTTGGTGATCTGGGTGGCGACGATGCAGAAGGTGAGGATGATGATGAGGACGATTACAATAGAGACATCGAACCTATGGACATTGGCCCACCTGCGCGACAGGAGACGGCAGGTCATGACCGAAAGTCTAGCATGGCTGGTGAAGCGGCAGCAGCGGACGACGACGAAGATGATCTCGAAGAGCTTATGAGAAGGGGCTTGATGGGCGGAGACAGCAGTGAAGAGAGTGAAGAGGAGTGAACACATTATCGGTATGGTTCTGCCATATGTCTATTTAATGGCCCGTCTTCCCGTTCCATCGGATGTATGAGCACACTTATGCTTGGTCATGACAGCTGCACGATTAGATCGCTCTGCCTGGACGATCCTCCGCGTCGTTTCTGGAAGTTTGCCATGCTTCCTCTAGGGGGGCTGACGGTCGATGTGACTCCCGCGCGAATGGTGACTTCGAAGTTGAGAAAACCATCGCTTTGACCGGCGCCGACTGCAATACCACTTCCACCCTCTTCTCTGGATGATGATGCTCGATCTCCCGATCTTGCTGTACAAGGTTGCAACAACAGCAGCAACAGGCGCAGAAGAAATTCTTGCACCAGGTCTGTCACCCTTTCCACCCTTCGATCTTCAGTCCATACTTCTTCCGAATGATCATGCGGTTGCGGAGAGGCAGGAAGATACATCCGCCGCAAAAGTCCGCACAACAAGATCAATCAAAGCACTTCCAGCACTTTGCGTTCGTGGTCAGCATGGAATCAACGCTATGGGGGGAAGGATAGCTTGCATCTTCGTTGCAACCAGAGTACTTTTCCACGTTGCCTTGGTTACCATCTCGGTATCTGATCCTGCCGTACAAAACCCAAGGACAGCAGTATGCGAGCCAGCCTGTTCAAACCTATCAGTCGGCCCCCCTGCTGCAGGGTTGAGAGTCATACCTGTGTTAGCTGGAGTGCAGCATTTGTACCATTTCTGATGCCAGTCTGCCACGGTAGTGTAGTGCTTGAGCTATCTAGCTCGTGCGGGTATCGAGAGGTTGATGGTGGAGGGCTGCATCAACACCGACGAAGAATTCAAAGCTTGTATGACTCCATACTGCGCTCGACCCCGTCGATGACTGAGATGTTTGTGTGACAGTGGTATGTTCGTCTGCTTTGTTGGTGAGTCTGAGCGGAGCACGTGCTTGGGCAGTCATGGAATCGCTAGAAATTGTCGTTTCAATTTAGACATGCATCTACCACCTGGATACACGGCAGTCAGGTATCAGTAGAGGCGTTATCTTCTGACGAGCCTGATGATTACATTTTTTTCCATAATGTACAATAAACAGGTCGTGAATGGTGCACGTCGGCGGTCGTCATGACCTATCCCGGAGTCACATGTTGGTGAACCTGAACTAGGCTGATTGCCAAAATTGTGACGTCTGCTATATGCGCCGTGTATGTGGACAAGATCCTGCAAGGAGACTGGCTTCTAGAATGAGCATTTCCCACGCTCAAGCTGGTGATCCCTGCGCTAGCGTTGCCGTAGCCCGAGGCTTGTACGCGTCGCCCGGCATCGTCGGCCATCTCCCGCCTCCTTGTGCGAACATCACTTCTTTGAGCAATATCGTTTCTTCTTCTTCTATTGTGTCTTTCGTCAACATCGCTATGCGTCCTTGTGCTCTTCTCGGTCTTTCGGTACTGGCTTCTGCAGCCACCACGCCTCCAACTACATCGGATCATGATCAAGTCATTGAAGTGGAGGGTGGCCGCGAATACACCGTGAAGCTGAAATGCGCCGAGTGCCCGTTGCGTGCCTGGACAAGTCCTCACAAGGCAGAATGGGTGCATCCACCACCAGAAAGTTCCTTGGTGATTACACTCCACAGTCCTGGCAGTGTACACAACTAACCGTGATCAGTTGCTCGAGTTTGTCCTGGACGAGTTCAACGATGCGTTACTTCTCAACGGCCAGCGCATATTCCCTCTTGATCCCATGCCTCTCGACATAAACGCGAAGCAGGCTATTACCGAGGTGGAGCAGGACGAGACGGAGTCCGGATCTGAAGACGTCGCGAATCCGAACAGGCACAGCAGGATACTGTTTCCCCTACAATATGAGCATACCATCTTCCGCGCCGACAAACCTGAACTCTGGTGGCTTCAATTCAACGTAACGGGCTTGCCCTGGGGAGAGACTGCTGATCCAATCAAGTTGGGTCAGAAGGCTGTACAGATCTTGATACGCAGGGAGTACGATGTGAACCTGATCGGCGGATACATACTCTCCATCGAAGATGTACAGATTGTCTCCACGAAGGACAAGGCGCAACCACCTAGGATGAAGTGCGGAAAGCTGGCCATGGTGCAAACAACGTTTGATCCACGCGAATGGGACGAGTACGGTAAACTTGGCACGATGTCGAGGGCCTGGAACGCTTTTGTTGGCAGAATACGTGTTGGAAAGGACGCCCTACTTCTTCCGCTCCTCGCACTGCTTGCGGTTAGCCTCGTCATAGCACGTCGCCTGTTTATCCAGAGACAGCAGGAAAAGGCTGGCACAGTCTCTGAGGCCGAGACTGCTCTGTTGGGCCGAGATGCGCCTCCGCCATACGCAGACATACCTGTGATCAAGATTGAAGAGTATGATTAGTTCAACGAGTCTGGAGGCTGGAGCGCAATCAAAGCAAGCGGGCCGGAGTCTCGCCCGCATCTCCGCGTTGCATTCGCCCTTTGTGCGCAAGCGGCATCTTGGCTCTATGTACCACCTCAATCTCGGGTTTCCGCTATCTTGCTTGTCTCTGCACTCTTTTCATGCTTTTTGTTACACCGACATTCTTGCTCCTGCACCCCTCGGGCGCGCCCGGGTGAGAAGCGAGAGCATTCCACAAGCTTGGTAGGTTTAGCCGACACATTCACCTGTTCAACCTCGACCAGGCGCCGCCGACTTGATCAGTGCTTTACTATACGCCTCCCTTCTATTGTCAAGAATGTCCGTCATCATCGAGCAATACAACAAGGAATGGCCGCAGCAATTCGAAACTATCAAGTCGGAGTTGGAACATCACCTGCAGGACATCGAGTACCTCTCGATCGAGCACGTGGGTAGTACATCAGTACCGGGACTTGTCGCCAAACCTATCATCGACGTTGACATCATTGTTACTCGCGATAACGTTCAGCTTGCTATCGACGCTCTCATCGAGAAAGGAAAATTCGATTACCTTGGAGAGCTGGGGATCGTGGACCGTCATGCCTTCAAGGACCCTAACCAATCCAATCGCCACAACGTTTACATATGTGTCGACGGTGTTGCACAAACGCGCAACCACCTCAGCTTGCGCGATACGCTACGCTCTGACGATGAGTTGAGGGATGAGTACGCGCGAGTGAAGCTAGAACTCGCAGCGAAAGCAAACAACATCGTCGATTATATGGTCGCCAAGGGCAATGTTATTCAGAAGATCCTCAAAGCCTCTGGTGCCTTTACCAAGGAAGAACTCGCAGCCATCGCCCGCGCAAACGTGAAGGGCGAGCGCTTCGGTGCCATCAAGACACCCCGTCTGCTCCTCCGGGAGTTCGTAATGAAGGACGAGGAAGGCTACTTTCTTCTCGAAGGAAACGAGCAAAATGCACGTTACCAGGAGTGGCCCCCACGAACACGTCAGCAAGCTCGTGAGCTCGTCTTGGAGAACATTCGCAACCATAACGACGTGCCGCGAACGAAGTATGAACTCGCTGTCGAGACGCTCGACGAACAATTCATCGGCCGCGTCGGCGCCAAAACATCTCAAGCGAACTCCGACTCCCTTCCAGGAGAATCTACTATCAAGCCAGTCACCCACGCCAATCTCTGGTTTTCCTTCTTGCCCTCAATGCAAGGCAAGGGTTACGCTACAGAAGCCATGACAGCCTTCATCGACGCCTTGAAAGAAAGACTGCAGAACCAAGGGAAGCTGGAGATGGAGATTGAGTGTGATCCTAGGAACGAGGGGAGTTGGAAGTTAGCGGAGAGATTGGGATTTGAAAGACATAGCTTGACGAAGGAAAAGACACAAATCAAGGGCGAATGGGTGGATAGTCTGGTTATGAGGAAAGTTGTTGGTGATGTGTAAGTGATCGAGTGTTGATGTGTATATGAAGGCAGTACTAACTTGTGATAGGGCATTTGCGTCGAAGCATGTTAGGAGAGGAAGTAAGGTTAGCAGCAGTATGCGGCTGAGTGCGACGGAATTGTTTGAGAGCTGTCATTGATGAACTGGACCTTCTAGGGCGTATTGCAGATCGCCGACGGCTTGAATTCTTAGCCTCGGTCTTCCTCTAGGTTTCAGGACGCCTGCTGCGATATGAGAAAGTATGAATTTGGTATATACTTCTCACTACAGATACTCTTCCATTGCTACTTGGCTCCTACATACCCCAGATGTGAGTCTGAACCAAAGACAGATGTCATGAATCGGAACGGCATCATCTCTGAGCAACTTGATCGATGCATCAAAAGAGTGTGGGATTCTAAAACGGACAGCAAAACGATATGTACATCGAAACGATTCCCTTCTCGAAACGAACTAGATCAGTCTCCTATCTGCAATTTCTACGACCGCATCAACCCAACGCCAAACACTACTGCCTCCCCTTTACTCCCACCCCCTCATCTTATACTCATCTAGATAGGCGTAACAGTACTAATATCAATCAACGTAACCGGCTCAAGATCATTCGGCGTAGGCGCAGCAGCACCATCCCCACCATCCGTAGCCGTAGGAAGAGTAATCAACGTAACTGGCGCAAGACCTTCACTTGACCCCGTAGTCGCAGCCACCCCAGTAGGCAGTGTAATCAACGTGATCGGCGCAAGATCATCGCTGGAGGTCGCCGGCCCACTCACATCCGTGGTAGTGACATTGGGGAAGGTTCCGTTGGCAGTGGGGAAAGCGGTAACGGTAACGGTAACGGTCAGGGTTGATGTAACGGTGATGGTATTGGTGCCGGACCAAGACTTTGTTCCCCAGTGTGCGTTGCGGGGACGGATGTCGGGGGTGAGGCGTTTAAGGGGGGCGACGAGGGCAAGAGAGCTGGGGAGGAGGGAGAGGAAGAAGAAGAGGGACTTCATGCTGATGTTGAAGGAAGAGAGTACTTGGAGTGAAGGCAGAAGTTGGTGGTCGGTGAGGTGATGGGTAGCATGAGGAGGATGGGGATATATAGTCCTTCGGGCCTGGTTGAGATACGTCGACTTGAGGCTGGATGGACAGAGGACAGTGTTTCGACGCGTAAACTCGCAGATGTCTTACACATCCAGCAAGCCAAAGAGCATACTGAGTATGCGCCCCTCAGACGCCTTCCGCTGCTCCAAGCAGGCCGCTGTACGCGTACCTAGTATAGTCCGCTCATGGTTTGTGACAACACGTGTATCTACAACTCACCTCGTCAGATCTAAACTCTCTCCCGGACTGCTACTATGCTCTGTGGTCTACATGTTTCCTCTAATCCCGCTCGAATCGATGTAGTCGCCAAGGATGTGTATGCTGCACGGGCGTCGGACTTCGCGTAGGCTGACGTCTACTAAGACACATTCGACTCCTGTACTTGTGCATACGAATCTTCTTACGACGGACCTTTGGCGAAGTCCGTACTCGTCATAATCGAGCTTTCCGTGATATAGAGAGCGCTGACGTGGGGGCGTGACGACAGGTAGACTATTGCTAGTGTAGTGGACTTCGACGCAAAGCGCATAGAGCCTAGAGAAGCTTGTGCAGTATCAAGTACATACCTTCCTATAGACTGAATAGCTTCATTGTGTTGTCAATAGGCAGACAAAGAGCACATGGGATATCAAGATGATGCCACAATATGACCTTGGCATCTAGCTAGTTGCCCAAGCTTCACACAAAGTCAGAAGTCGGCTCGAACAATGATGCCAGTGTTGCTTAAGTGACTGAGGAACTAATGATGCGCTTTGTTGGGACATGCGACAAGTGGTCGCTGCCCAGGACAATGTGTGAAGGCTGGCACGTGGCTGGGTTCGGGTAGCTCTGCCCACTCTATGTATGATGTCACCAATCTCTTCCATCCGCACTTTGTCACCTCGCACTCTTTTGTCACCTTTGAACAGCCGTGAACGTGCACAATGATACTTTAGCTGTCATCATCCACGAGGTTCGGCAAAGAAGCTACGTTGGCATGCCAATACGAGTGGTCAGATGCCGCATCCTTCCACATCTTTCATCGAGCTTCACCTACCTTCTGCCACCTTCTTCAGTGTGCAACCGCACTGGCGACTTGCTCATGCAGGACTAACCGTATTCGTTGACTTATGAAATTGGCCTCAAAATAATCATGATGGCGGGGCCAGGTGGAAGTGCCCCACACCGAAGCAGCATACTTACACCAGCAACATCTGGGTTTGTGATATTGATCTGTTTGCACATACCGTGAAGCAGTTCCCTGGCCTCCGACTATTTTCTTCCAGAGTCAGAAGGCCAAGACCAATGGCGACGCCGTCATAACCAATGAAGCCGGATTTGTTCACAGGACCGATTGAACAGCGCATGCAGCTGATGCAGGGCAAATGCATTCAACGGCACGCGGCGCCCGGAGCCAGGCTCTCTTCACGTGAGGTTAAAGTCGATTTGTCAGAGCCACCCTCATGACAGGATCTGGGCTCACCCCTACGTCGCAACTTCACGAGAATCTAGCTGTGATGGGCGCAATATGCGCCAGGATCGCCTCTTCCATGCCTTATCACTGTCGATCTTGAATCTTTCCAAGGCCAACGATTTTAGCGATGTCACATTGTTGCTACGTTTGCAAAGTAGCTCGTCCACATAAATGCAGCCGCGACAACTCCTTTCTATAGACAGAAACGCCCAAGTCTATTGATACCACTGATTCATTTGGATCATCGAGTCGCGTCAACTGTTCACAATATCGGTAGACCGTATACTGTCACAATGTCGACATGTCCACTTCTTGCAAGTCATCATCGGGTCAACGCCGCCCCAAATGGACACGTTCATCAAGCTATATGTGATGAGTACGATCCGGAGAAATACCTCAGCGAGCACACAGTCGGCCAGCACGCACTTCCAGATTATACTGCGCTGTTCTTACAGAAACATCGACACGTCAAGTCCTCAGAGCCCGACGCTGAAAAATCTACGGTTCCCCCGTGCAGTGTGCAGCCACGGACCTGATCCCGCTCAAGTCCCGCGAATATGGCGACTTCTTTACTCTGTGGGTCTGCGAGCGGTCGCTTATCATAATCAATATCTTCGGAAGATTCCTCAAAACCGACAAAGTTAGCGGCAAACCAACAATCCATGATGCTGCTATGAAGATGTACACCTACTACTTCACAGCTGTGATCGCTGGTCTAGTGCCTGCTATCATGAAGTACATGATTTCTCAGCACGAAGGCGCCTTAGTCAAGGGTATTGTCATGGCATCGATGAACCTATCGATCACGGTCTGCATGGTCTTTTTTGCATATGTCGACAAAGGGTATCTTTTCATCGTTAGCGTGCTGTAAGTATATTACGCGGGACTAAGACGACACAGGCTAATCGCTGTACAGGTTCTCAATCTTCCAATTGTTGATTTTGTCGAAACAGTAGGCGAAAGCTGAAGAATCGACGTCTTGTACGCATGTCTGGATGGAAGTCAGTTGGGTTAATAAAGTTATGTTATTAGGCTCTATATCTTCACTGTTAGGTGGGCAAGAAGTGACGAGTGTATTTCATTATAGAGAAGTTTTAGCATTCATGCCACCTGTGTTGTACTTTGTCATAGAATAGTCCCAATAAGAACAGATTACGTCACTGGTCTTCCACACACCTCCCCCAGGTCCATGAGGGCTCTGCATCTCTCACCTAGGACCGCGCAAACTCATCTGAGTACATAAGACCCATCCGTCTACTTCGACGACTTATCTTTTCTCCCAATACCAACTAAACCCCTCCAAACCACTGCAACGGCTGTTCTACACTCAGTTATCCAGACGCACGCGAGCAAAACCGCTGGAAACATCCAACATGGCAGCCCCATTGACCTTCGACGCATTCCGAAGCCGTTGCTTGGAAACTTGTGTTGAAGGAGATCCACCAAAAGAAGCATATTGCCCGATATACATAGAGGAGTACGATCGCTATAGTCACCAAGCAATGGGCATCGTCCTGCGGCCACCCACCCAATGCAACCACGAGCTCTGTTGCAAATGCCTCAAAAAGATTGTCTCCCGTCGCAAGTTCCAAGACAACGCAAACCTTTGTCCATTCTGCCGCGCTGTATGGTTCCAAGCCGAGTATGAGAGCTTCTCAGCGCAGAGTCGGTGTTTGGTAGAAGAGGCCACAAACACTCTGCGAGCCAACAATTTTGGGCTTTCACTTTTCGTACCAGAGCACCCTGGCGAAACCATTCCAGTACCTAACAGGAGAGACACAAATCCAGTACCACCGCTAGAGCGTACGCGACGGCCTTACACTGGTACCAATCGTCCCCATTCGCCTGCGGCTCGGCAATCCACTGCGTCCCGAAACACTCAATACCGCGGGAGTTGACGCAAAGAGCGGGTATATACATATCGTGAGCTTCAAGCTAAGATCGCAGCAGAGCGAGCAGAATGTCAGCGTGCATCCTCGAGACTTTCCCAGTATCTAGATTTCGATGGTCGATTTACCGGAAAATTCCCAATCAATCGACAAGGTACCTCAAACGGGGCAAACAACACGTGCGAAAATGGACAGTGCGGGGTAGTTCCACCGCTCAGATCCAAAGAGAGGGAGAATGCAGCGAGGCGAAAGCAGCAGTCTGATGCTTTCTCCGAACCACCTCAACAGTCGCGGCCCGAGCGCAAAGCGTAGGTATGATTGCCTCCAGATATGGACTGGCTTGAGAAAGCACACATATACGGCCGTCATCATTTTCCCATGGTATTGAACTTGCTTGAATCAACGGGCTTGGGCACGATTGGACTCCGGAATAGATGGGGGATATCATTTTGTAAGGGACAAGAGACTATGGTGAAGGCGTAGACAGGACCTGGACAATCCGAAGAAACCCCGCCGGATAGCAATGGGATCTATGTAACGAGCGGCCGTCACACATGCCACTTCAGCGATTTGGTTGCCTTTGGCAATTAGCGGTTGCTGAGCGGTACTACCGCGTGCGCTTTCACAATCTCATCTCTTTGTAAACACATACTTAACGGATGGGTGCATGTGATCTCCAATCACGCTTACCAGCGACTATTCGACATTGATGTTACTCATATATCTCTTGAACTACCTATGATGGTAGGAATATCTCGACACACTGAAGCACTTCGTAAGCTCACTAAGTGATTCTTCTTATTGGGACCGAATAGGATGATAGCCTTGGAGACAACGAGGCAACAGACATCGCGATATTGACTGGCTCGAGGTTTCATCAATCTCTCATTAGGTTTTCTTGCCTTCCCTATACCATACGGTAACGAGATGAACATAGCATCATTTCAGCGCGCCGTAATTCCCTATTCCTCCTCTCCTCTTGCTAGGCGCGACGCCTGAGCTCGTTGAGAAACACACATTGATCTGTAAGGTTCGAAACTGTTTCTCTAAGGGCGTGGTCCTCATCCTGAACAGCTCGTTGGGTGAGTACGACTTGAGAAGCCAGGCTCGCCTCATTCCCGGCGTCAACTTGGGGAACAAGGACTGTTTCCAGTTCCTGCAAAAGTTTGCTAACCTCAAATACCTTGGCCCACTGCCTATCGCGTTCTTCCTCACGTTCTTGCATGCTGGCGACCGGCATGGCTTCTTCTTCCTCCTCTTCTTGTTCATCTTCTCCTTCCTCTTCAGCATCTAGCTGCCATAGAGGTAGTACACTAAGCGCGCCATGTATGCTTTGTCGACAACTAGGACAGTAATGGGCGTTGTCCATACCGCTATCGACCCAATCTTGCAAGCAATTTCTTCCAAAAACGTGACTGCAGCCTGTCCCTAGAAGCTTGATAGCCACATGCTGATCGTCATCGTAGTCCTCCTGGCAGATAGCGCACTCGGAACCATGAAGATTTTCGGAGCTGGACAATACTATGTATCGTTCGATCTTAGCCGGGGGAGGCCCATAGCTACTCTCATTGCTCGATCCCGCGTCAAGCTCATTATGCAGAGACGTTAACTCTGTTATGGCAACATGCATCGCTTGGAACATCCATCCACCACTGCTGTGTGAGCCACCGCGGGACGGCTGGAATGTTTGATCATCGTTCTGCTGGTGAGACATCTTGGTAACGCTGATGAATTCTGTGTGAGTTATGGATAGTTGCCTGAAAATTGTTGTCAAAGTATGTTGGTGTGGAGAAGAGGTACGGCAGTGCTTGGTACAATTCTTATAATACTTCAGGGCTGGGCAAGAGCGCTGTGAATGAAGCACCCACAGGCCCAAAGTCGACCTCACTGTCCAAAGCTTGAGCCCATTATGAGTATACCAACTGAGGAGTGAAAGCCTGTTGGGCTTCTCATCCTCTCGTCTGGTTGGGTTCAAGACGGCAAGAGTGACGGGTCGGTGATATTTATTGGCAAAGGAGTGTGTGACCGAAAGAAGGAACGGATCTCTTCGCTGAAAGACTTATAAATGTTCGTCATAAACTGCATCGAAAGTTCTTGAGAGATGCTATATTCAACATGATGAAATGAGCATTGCAAGCTGATGGCCAGTGACTCGGTGCATTCGCGCAGCTTCGCAATCCATTTGTCTTGCAAGCCACTGCACCGAGTTGCGACATTCTCAGTAGACCGATACATTGTTCTTGTCGATGGTGACTTTGTCAGAAATGGTCTTGTGTGGTGGACATGTTATGGGAGCGTAGATGGCTCTCGCGACCGACCTCGGGACACACCTGAGGGTCTTCCAAGCTATCACGGAACCGGGTTAGTGTAATCGCTTGAGATGCATCCCTGCAGGCAAAATGTCGATCACGTTCAACTTTTGGCATCTGTCGAGGTGAGTCTCAGCGAAACACGTCGACATTAAAGCCGCAAATAGTACTTATTACGACGACAACCTAGACATCCTCATTCATTCGATTTCGAAGATGGCCGACTCGGCGAACAACTCAAACGTTGCATCTACCACACAGGCAGAGTCATCAGCCTCGTCGTCACAATCACCGAACGCACAGCCAGAGTCTGCTACCTCGTCAGCGTCCGCACCGCCCCAGGCATGTGCGCAATGCGGGAAGTCTCCGGACTCGCTTAAGCAGTGCATCAAGTGCCACAGTGTAGCGTACTGCAACAAAGACTGCCAGAAGGCGCACTACAAGGCGCATAAGAAAGCATGTCCTATGCTTGCGCAGGAGTACGTGAAACTGCATGAGCCGAAGATGGCATCAAAATCCAGTGCAAGTGCACCTGGAGCAAGGGACAAGGGACTGCAGAAGTGGCAGGTATGTTGTTTCATGTCTCACTCCGGTGTTAAGTTGGTACTAATCTTGATAGTTTGATACTTGAGTGTATGTGAAGGCAATGGTGGCACAGTGGTCGGCCGGAGACGTGTCTCGATGGAATAAAGCTGGACCAGCGTGGAGCTAAGGGGAGGGTACTTGGAATCAAGCCAAAGTAAAAAGTTCCCGGAGCTCATCGTGAGCTGATGTAGTCCGCATGCGCAAAAGCTTGTGATGGTGATTACGTTTCCGACTGGTTCTTGGACGCATGTAATGAGCAAGGCACATCGTCTGACGGACGTTGTGAAAGTGTCTGACATCTGACAGCCAATGCACGAGTGGATCGGTCGCAGAATTAATAGCGAAGTTTTACGTTTGTAAACTATGGGAATAAACCCTGTACTCGGTAGTGGCGAGATGAAAATGCGCGCAACGGCAAGTCCCGTGACGAGTAGCATGGCGCTGATCATTAACTTAAGCTGCATCCAGCTAAAAAGAAGTTTTCACGGTTTTCGAATGCTGACAATCAAGAATCCGCTCGCCAAAAGAGACATCTCGATGGGAAGCCTAGACTCGCATGGCCCTTCGCCTTGTAGGGCAAAGCGTGTCGCGGCAGCTGAGTGTGGCTGCACTGTGTGACTGTGGGTAGATAGCCTTCAAGGCTTGTCAGACCCATGCCCAGGTCGAGACACGCGCTGTGAGCTCGCGCCAAAACGTAGGTGAGTGTAGGTGAGTGTGGAGCGAGTTGAAAACTCGTGCGTTTTGTTCATGAGCTGTGCAGAGACTGGCTCCGTTCTAGTAGGCGATTGGCAGGGTGCAGCGCCGTACTCGTGTACGCTGGCTCCCCACGGGAGGTGTGCGTTCAAATCGTATCAAACAGCTTCAGGACTAGCCTGGCTTGTCGTGCAGCAAGGAATCGACCCACCGAACAGTCGGCGCTGCAAACAACCAGATAACGGCACCGTGAGGACCGATGGATGGGCATGCTGGTGATGGAGCCAGGCTGCCATGTATGCAGGGAGCGCCGGGTACGATCAGGCCATTTCGCTGGTGTGAATTGCTGTGGCCGCGAGGTCTAGATTTCAGCTGCTGAGACCCTGGCCCTCCAAAACACGCTAGCAGCAACCGCAGCGAACATCGGGTATTCACTCCGCAAACCCAACCTAGCCCACCTGGCCCTCGCACTGCGTTGGCCTGGTCGTTCTGCTGTTACATTCATGTCTTGGATCCAGCAACCGTCTTCCCCAGGCGACCATCCACTCGTTTACCGCCAGCCCCTTCCACCTGTCAATACTTCCCACGCGGCCGTTACTGCCGCCGCGGCGCTACCGCGTTTGTACCTGGACGCCAGATCTTTCAGCCACGTCTCCGTGCGTCTGTTCATCCCACTTGCCCAGCATAGCGTGATTGTACGCGTTGCCATCAAACATCTCAGACCCCGTTGGTCATGATGACGGGCTTCCAGTCCTCTTCACATCTTCTACAGCAATCTGACGCTGATAATGCCCCTCTTCGCTTTCACCAAGACTCCCACCAAGCGCTCCAGCCCAACTCCATCCCACCCACTCCGGATGAAGGCATAGATGCGGGTCCATGCCCCGACATAGCGGTTCCCAACGACATCTCTTCGTTTCTCGACGCTTCTCTGCCGCAGCCCTTCCCGCTGCCTTCCGCCCTACCCCAGCCTCTTAGGACTCCCACCATCGAGGACCGGCCGCAGCTTGATCTGACCCTCAATCTTCCTCAAAGCAACTTCTCGCTTCCCACATCCACGGTCCTTAGGAGCACGCACAACCTGCGTCTACCCTCGTTTGATGTACTAGGCATTGCTGCGCCCCACCCTGATCGTATCCCACCGCAAGCACATCAGTCCTTCTCTCCACTAGGCGCTGGACCTCTGTCGAAGCCAGAAGACCCTCTCCATGCACTCAGCCCACCACTTGACTTCTTCAGTCACGCCAACGGGGCCAGTCATACCCCCGTTACCAGTCCCAAGGAAGCTAGAGCCCGCGTTGGACATCTTGTGTCCACTCACACGCCTCCCTCGGATACGGAACCGGGGACGATCAGTTGGGGATCCTTTGTGAACCCACGGACGGTTGGGCTGGGTTCACCTCCAAATTCTGAGCCAGGCGTATCACCAAATCTGAACATCACTGCCAGCGCTACAGCTCCCAGTCAAGCGCCCATAATCGTACCGACCCACGAAGAGTTCAACGACGAGTTCAGCGACGCGCTGAGAATGGCAGCCTGGATAGAAGAGGCAAAAAGCACTATCAGTGAGTACCTTTTGCACCTGAATGACGCATACTTTCGTGTACTGACTAGCTTAGTAACCGAGTCTGGGTGTCTGGAGTTGGACTCAGTCAAGATTCTATCCCACGCCTTGCCTTGTCCGTCAACATCAGGTCACATTTTCGGCCAAATCATCGCTTCGATTCATGACAGATCATCAACGCAAACCTCGTGGATCAATGTATTCCACGCGCTTCCTGGTCGCTACACGCTCATGGATCTGCCAAAGTCTCCTCCATCGACGCCCGGTCCTGCTGTCGGAGGAGATTCTTACTTTACCAGCAAAGTCTTTGACAGCGCGGTTGCTATTCCAGACTACCAGCTCGATTCGAAACTCCTGCCTCCATCACCTCGGCCTGTCGTGCCACCTGGGAGCATTAACGTTTCGATTGTAGAACGATATATCCCACCGACCAATACTAACGAGTTCGCCGAGATGTTCACTTTTCGAGGCCGATCCTTGCTCTACGACCGCATGATCGAGCTTTCAAGCGACGATGGTGTTCTTCTATTCATCTATCCAACGAGGACAGGTGCGAGGACGTTCATGCAGCAGTATCTTGGACCCATCCTTGACCCACTCCTAAGAACCGTAACTGTAGTTCACGATCTCCACTCCGAGCTAGGAAGGAATCTGGGCCAGATGAGTTCAGTCAATTATCTGGATGAGTACAACCACTTGGAAGCGCAAGTAAGGAAGTTCTGCGGAGCCATGGGTGACCGACACAACAGTTCCGAGAAAAGAGCAAACTACGAGGTGATTCATGCGGCAAAAGAGAGAATCTCCATGCAACGGTCGGCTTGGGCAGACGATTGGTGGATCAAGCAAGAAAAACCGCGTATACGGGAGATAATCACCAAGTACTTCAGCAAGTCGAAAAAGCTCCCAAGCTCCGAGATGAGCGCTGCAACCCTGATCCAGGCTGTCCTCGAGGGTGTATCGGAACGGGACTACCATAACGGTGAGCCCACGAAGGGCGTGGAAGTCGGCGTCTTTATCGTGAAGAAGACGAAGGCTGTGGCGAAGGCTCAGAGAGAATCATGATGAAACATCATGCCTAGATGACGGGATTGATTATTGAGCGCGAGGCCACGATGTCACGGGTGTACACGAAGATTATGATCCCTGGTTGTGATGATCTCATATTTCGCATAGCATTGCGCGGCGTTAGCGGCATGGAACGAGCGAGTCCTGTCTGGAACAGTTCAAAAGGAAACGAGTGGACATAGTAATAATACCTAGTAACGATCCTCAAATCAGTGCCTCCAAGCCCGATGTAAATGCATAAGTTGCTACCACAATGGCAAGTTTAACCTCGCCCTGCCAAGCCGCTAGCGCGAAAAACTGCCCTTTGCTCACCTTTCGGGTCTCACTCTGGCTCACGCAATATGTAGACGGAACTTCATCACCTGAGCTGTGCACACCGCTTCGAACAAAAGACACGCTGCCTCATCCTCACAAGCCTGGTCTCAGCTTACGATCACTCATTACCTAGGTCCAGGTACGCGTTCCCTTCACGTGTTGCGATGGCGCTAGCCACTTTCGTCCGTCATAGTCAAGATGAGGGTCCAACAAGAGCAGGAGTGACTTGACAATAATCGATCGCACACTTCGCTCGAGTCTGCTGTCATCTTGATACAGCCTTGCGAGGACGATGGGTTTACATGACTTCACAAAACTAACTTGACCTCAGCATACTAGGAGAGCATACAGCTTCGAGTCTAGGACCTGCTATACGACGCAGTCTTGTGGTTGTAAGATAGTCTCAGCTGAAATCTTCAGTCTATAAGCTTGCGCGAGCGCCGCAAGATCATCAGGATGCACGTAGGTAACACCATCCAAGGCTCGCGTCCCATCTCTCCAGACCACCTTTCCTATCACATGACATACATTTCATGTCTGCATCTAAGCATTTTCCTTATACAAGATCACTCTGCCATTATCAAGACTCTGTTCAGCATCGCCCTACCACCGTTCACTAACTCACCCACTAGATCAAAACCCCCCAATCCGCCCTCCTCTCCAACCACGAAGTTCTCCTGCACCTCCGCCAAGAAGATGCAGAATACACCGGCGCCGACGGAACGGGTCGGAAACGCAAGAAGCCGTCTGGTTTGACACACATATTGCGAGATGTACGCACCCTCGCCCTATCTTCCCATCCTATTCGCAGGAACATGTGAGACTAACATTGACAAGGGACTCGCCTACCTCCAAACCGCAGAATACACGACTTCCTCCTTAGCAGATGCGCATCCGGAGAGACCTAGGACGCTATATCGTGGACCAAACAGTTTGTTCCGTGCATTGGCGCCGAAGTATCGGTTGAACAAGGCTGAGTATCTTCAATTGTATAATTTGAGACCGACAACGCAGGTTATGCTGGAGTTGGTTATTGAAGAGGTATTGCTTCCCCACATCAGATCTATCTGACTAGTTTGTTTTTCCTGCCGTTACCCGTGCTGACATTCGTATAGGCGGGTACACGGTTTACTGAGGACGAACTACATGATATTCTTGCTATTATTCAGCAGGTCTTTGACGAGGAAGAAGCCGACATTCCCGAGGGAGTCGAGGACATGGAGATGCCGAAGATTGCGAACAAGCTGCTAGGTGCCAATAAGAAGAGGAGAAAGGTCAAGAGGAAGGCTTGAGGCTGTGCTGAACGATGGGTTAGATGTAGCGACACACAGGGAATGGAGGAAGGTTTCGTGATATCATGGTAGAAGAATCTGTCACTGCACCGATGTGGTAGGCAAGTCAACAGCATGGAAGCTGTCTAATGGAACCAGTCATCACATATTAGCAGACGTGAACAAGACAAACACGATTGAAGTTTATGAACATGTGATTGTATGCTACCAACTGGCGGGTATCCATCCACCGCATCCCCATCATGCAACGTAAAAGGACCTTGAAACGTAGAACTACAGATGCCGAACCCTCATGCGCCACTCGCCTGAACATAGCAAGCTCAAACCTATTCAACGCCGTACCCTCTTTTGTAAGAACATGGCTACAGATACAGAAGTCTCCGTGGGGTCGCGACGCATCTAGTCCTTGCTCTTCTTCTTTTTCTTCTTCTCTACCTTCTCGTCACCGTCATCGGCTTTCCGCTTCTTGCTGTCCTTGCTGGACTTCTTTGCCTCCTTGGCAGCCTTCTTTGCTTCCTTGGCCTCACGCTTTGCGGCGCGCTCTGCCTTTCGTGCCTTCTTGGCCTCCTTCTCTGCCTTCTTTGCAGCCTTGTCACCCTTGGCGGCAGGCTTGTCTTCCGACTCGGAGTCTGATGAGTCCTTGGCATCTGCCATCTCCTCGTCACTATCGACCTCTTGTACCAGCTTCTTGGGTGTACCGTTGGTCTTGTCCGACTTCGACTTCTTGGGAGCAGGCGCATCGGCGGCTGGCTCGTCACCAGTAAGACCATCTGCGTCTGGGTTGTACTTCCGTGCCTCCTTGACCTCCCACTTCTTCTGACCAAGTGCTGTCGCGTTTGCGTTGCCGGAAGGCATGCTCTTGAGCGGCTTGCCCTCGAGGGCGCGTAGTCTCCTCTCGATGGTGAGGCGTGCGTCGCGACCGAGCTGGGACTTCTCCTCTTCGGTGGGCTCCTTGGAGGTGTCCTCGGACGATACACCCCAGGTGCTCAGGGCATCGACGCGGAGACCCAAGGCGGACTTGGCGGCGAGCATACGAGCGATCTTGCCCTTGTTCTTTCCGGTGGCCTGACCGATAAGGGATGCGTGGTAGATAAGCTGGTAGAATTAGTATAAGCATTCGATGTGGGGAGAGAAATACATACACCGTACTTGGGTGTGTCGTGCTTTGTCTTGAGAGCGCGGAAAAGAGCCTTCTCGGCACCGAGAATCTGGATGGTGGAACCAGGCGACTTGGCGAGGTTCATGAGGGATCCAGCATGGGCGATGAGGCGCGCACCAACAAGCTCACCGACGAGAGCAGTAAGGTTAGGAGCGAGAGCCTGCATGCGGTTGGAAAGGTAGGCACCGAGGCTTTGACGGTGCTCAGTGAGGTCAACAACCTGCTCAGCAAGAGCTGAGGTCGCCTCCAGATCCTCCTCGGTGATCTCGGTACCCATAGAGATTTCTGCAGCCGCCTTGACAGCCGCCTCAATCTCCTCGGGTAGAATCTCGGAGAGGTCGCTCTCACGCGCCTTGGTTCGGAAACCCATCTTAAGGACCACACGAGAGTAGGCAAGGTTGTCGTTGAGAACTGTCGCTAACGTCAGTAACGGATCCAGAGGAACAGGCGTCTAAAAGGCTGAAACTTACTCTTGGCGAGCTCGGGGAAGTGCCAGCCGTACCATTCCTTGACACGCATGGCGTAGGTGTTGAGCTGCTTGTCGAGCACATCGAGCGATGCGATGGATTGGATAATCATGGTGTCAACCTTGTCGGGCGAGAAGCGCAACTTGTGTCGCGAGAGGGAGTGGGCAAGACCAAGTCTGGTCGCGGCTTCCTCAGAGGGAAGTAGGTCGGGAAGGAGCGAGGTCAGGTTTTCGCGGATAGCACGGAATACATCTTGGGTAGAAGAGTCTGATACGGTCTTGAGGGAGAGACCTGGGAGTTGCGCAATCGAGTTGGAGAGCTTGGGGTCGGCGACGGCCACTTGAAGGTGTTAGCTGCCATGTTCACTGCGCAATCTCAGGATGTTCGTACAGGTAGCCTTGGTCTCATCCTTCAGGTCCTCCAAAAGAGACGACAGCATAGGCGTGACTTTTCCATCGTGGAGCGCGGCGGCCTGCTCGAGAGCGTCTACTGCGCTGCCAAATTTGGCGAACTTCTTGAGCTTGAGCTCCTCGACAATGCTAGAGGAGTCTTTGCTGTCTCCGCTCAAGAGCTTCTTGTCCTTGGACTTCAACAGGACGTAACCCGCCGAAGTTTCCGAGAGGATAAAAAGACCCATTTTGCTGTTTTCGGTCGTGGGGTAGGTCCAATGGCGATCGCGAAACGCAGCTACCCTCCGTGGTGAATTTGGACGTGGTGTGGGAAGTCGCGATGGGAGTTGTCGCAAGCTCGAGCAGTGCGCTTTCCAGCTAGAACTTTTTCCTGCGCTCGGGCCAGCCAGCCAGCGCTAACCCTGGAACACACAAGCTTGGTTTCTGGCAGCTAGTGACGAACGCCAGGCACATGCAAGCGAACGCAACTCGTGGCCATTGAGCTCACAGTATAATGACTTATTAATTCATCCAAAAGCAATCCCGCTCGCAGTCCCGCCATGTCATCCGGCGGCGAGCGAAAGGTCTCGGGCTCCCTCAACCGCAGCACCCGGGGCACGACTCCACGCCTCGCCGATCTGGGAGAGTCACCGCGGACACCGCTCCTACGATCCATCTCGTCCACCTTCGGCTCGCCTGGTGGCTCCTTCCGCACCGAAGACGAGTACGTCGTGATAGAAGTCGGCTCTCGGTTCGTGCGTGGCGGCTTTCCCGGCGAAAGTGCCCCGCGATGCACTCTCCCGTTCGGGCCCGACGATCAGCGGAGGGTGGGCGACTACAGGCAGTGGGACCCCGAATATGCACAGCAGAGAAGAAAGCGGAAGCGGGACCAGGATTGGGGTCAGGAACATGAGCTCTACCGTATGGATCTGAGCAAGGTTGACATGGGGCTGGTGGAAGACAAGTTTGAGCGGGCGATGAGAGAGGCATACGGCAAATACTTTCTGCTGGACACGAAGCCACGACGGGTACTGCTTGCGATGCCGCCGCGTATGCCGCATGCACTCATGTCGACCATCCTCGATGTGCTCTTCACAAGCTTCCAGGCTCCAAGCATCACTCTCATGTCAACACCGGTACTGTCGACAGTGGCAGCAGGACTGCGTTCAGCGCTGGTCGTGGATATTGGCTGGGCAGAAACGCTTGTGACTGCAGTATGCGAATACCGCGAGGTCTCAGAAAGACGCAGCGTTCGGGCAGGCAAGCTGCTGAGCGAGGAGATGGCCAAGCTGCTGAACGCTGAACTTGACGACGCTGAGCCAAGCGCTACCAAGGCAGACGTGTCTTTCGAAGAAGCAGAGGAAGTCCTCACGCGCGTTGGGTGGTGCAAGCCCGTGCCCAGATCAAATCGACGAACCGTATACTTTCCCGCGCGAGAAGCTCCTGTATTGGAGGAGTTCGAAGACGCTATCGAATCACCGCCGCCTGCCGTCACCATACCTTTTCCGAAGCACACACCTCCTACCGAACTCACAATACCATTCGCATCACTAGCCAAGCCCACCGAGAACGCTCTCTTTGCACCCGAGTTGGCCATGCACGAGTTCGATGACGAAGACCTTCCACTACATCACCTCATATACCGCGCTCTCGTACAACTCCCCATAGATGTCCGTCGACTATGCATGTCGCGCATTGTAATAACAGGCGGCGTGTCAAACCTACCCGGCCTCAAGACCCGCATACAGAAAGAGCTGGACGCTCTGGTACAACTCAAGGGATGGGACCCAGTGAAGAGCTACGGCAGAGCAAGCGCACGTCGCGAGGAGAAGATGCGCAACCAAAAGGAGGACGTGGAGACGCGCCGACAAGAAGGTGAAGATACTTTCCCCTCGTCACTCGATACCGATGCGGAGCCTGCGCCGATCCCCGCAGCCCTTCAATCGCCCACAGAAGACCCTATAGACACCAAATTCGCCCAGATGGCAATACGTCACGGCCCGCCGCCTGCTAGCTTGATAGGTGGCACTATCAGAGTTGTGGATACATTGGGCCCGTGGGCAGGTGCGAGTCTGATAGCACAGCAGCGCATCAAGGGCATTGTGGAAGTGGAGCGCGAGAAGTACCTGAAAGATGGTTTGCAGGGTGCTACACGGGAGAAAGAGGTCTCTGTTATCGCGCAGAGGCAGAGTATGGGCCCTGGTCTATCCAACAAGGGCGGAGAGAGAGCCAGTTGGACTCTCGGTGTGTGGGCATAAAGCGCGTGCGTATTGCTATTAAGCATGTTATTCCCTTTTGATACCCCTTCAACTATCTCGCTTCTTCACATCACCGCTGTCTTGCCTTTTGGATACCCTCGTCTGCTCCTAGCATACGAACGTTGCTATAACCAACCTTTGGCCGACGCACGACATTTGCGAGTATACTGAGTCCCGGCAGTTGTTGTGGTTGCGTCGGTCCTCATGTATGTAACTATTCATCTCCACAACTCATGCCGGGCGTCCAAATGAATGAAGCTCGTCATTGGCTGCTTTGTCCTGCATTTTCAGCCTGGCTTCGGTCTGCCAACTCAGATGCGGTCAGCTGGCCGCAACATGGCCCAATGACAATCGGACTTGAACACTTCCTACACTGTCTCAGTCTCTCAGTGGTCCTCAATTTGTGGCTTTCGAAGAACTTGTCGATCTGAGGAGCTGAGGACTTGCAGAGATGCAGAGATGCCTAAATGCGGACACCTGCAAGCGAGGCGGCTAAGGATTCACTTGGATCACGGTGAGTGTCTGTCACTGACCGATATAGAGCCGTGAAGCCCACCTTCCCAATCTTGTGCAGTGTCCTCCTCTTGTCCTCCTCGTCCTCCTCGTCCTCCTTTTTTCGTGGACACTATGGCCACTCCTCCGCCTGACGGTCCTTCCTCGCGACCGATTATTTCATCCACCCGTGGAGGACTCTCATCGCCGCAACTAAAAGTTGCTGTTTCTTCCGATAGCCACAGTCCCCTGTCGGAGGCTGCACATGTGCCAACAGATCCAGCCTTATGCCAAGACATCAGCCTCTCAGACTCCCAGCACGATCTTTTTGCGGCAAAAACTGAGTTTGATGCGTACTCGGAACCATTCGATTTCGACCACCCTGATTTCTTGGAAGATTTTGAGCCGTACCGAGATACGGTGCTTGAACAAGCTTGGGTAAACGACTTCCCTGCGAGCCTTGGTGGACTCTCGCATTCCCTCGCGCAATTCGGAGCTACTAAGAGAGCTATTTCCTCGTCGTCACCTTCAGGCTTCTCACACAAGGTATGCAAGCCGAATTCGCGCATACAAGTCATGATCATTGATGCCGTGCACCACAGCGACGGAAAGACGACCATAAATCCCCATGGCCCCCGTATGGAGATCAACAAGCACCACCAGGGCATGATCAGCCAGCACAACGCCTAACAACAACTCTAAAGCCTCTAGAAGCCATGTACAAGGCTGTCCAGTCACCAAAGCTACCATCTATCACTTCTGCCATGGCCGAAGAGGTTCAGAAATCCAAGCGAAGCTTCGCCTGTGCTTTCCGGGAAGCTCAGTCAAAACTAGGGTTGCCGTACACATGTACAGCAGCCCCAGTAAGCACAGTCTCTGCAGGTCGGACGCACATGACCCGCAAGTTACCCAGGGGACAACCGCCACACCTATCTTTCCTCCGGCTTTGCAAGACTTGTAATGAGGACATACTCGACGAGCATGAGTTCGATACATTCCATGGAGCAGATGGCCTCAAATGCGATCACCCAAAAGCACAACGCAAGGGAGATGCGGGACAGCAAGAACAATACGATATCTTATGTTCTAAGGTCATGGCCTACATTCTCCAACAAGGAAACCTAGGAGAGACAACAACATGTACCACAGCTGGAAACGACTCTTCACTGATGCGCCCAGCACCGCCGACAAGTGATTCAGTCCTTCTTCCTCAACTTTCTGAGCCAACTCAGGATCGAGATGGAGCAGCTAAGGAGCGTTCCCGTCAATTACCGATTAGTAAACATCCTCAAAAGCCTTGTATGGCACGTGAGAACGTAAGTACCTTAGAGACTCAATGAAATTGCACTCTGACCGACCTTAGTAGCTCAACGAGGGCGAGCCAATCTCACAGTCATCTCTGGACACCGACACGCTTATGGCCGACCTTCCAAGTACCACTCTACCCGAATCAAGTTATCTACTGAGCCCAGAAGAGTGCGAAAAATTGTTACCCAGTGTGCACAAACAAGCGCGTCATTTACCCGACCCATCTATGCTTCGACGGCCATTGTCAGGACGGCAGGCCATACAGCCATCGAAATGTCGACAAGAAGTGGAACGCGAGATGTATGGCGGCTCTATGGATCTCGACGAACACGCACGAGACGTCCCTCACGGACGTCCTGAAGATTCTTCATGGCATGGTTGGCTCGGCTGTAACGTCGATTTATCACTCATTCAACATAACACTGTCAGTCAAAGCACCGGTCAATATAACAAAGAGTCGATGTCTTGGGGTGCAGATATTGGTCCGTATGATGCGTCATCCAGTAGTGGGTATATCAATTCCTCACTTCGCAGCGGCTCAGTATCTTCCGAACCGGCAGGAATGATCCCAGATTGCCTTTGGAGATCGGTCACTCCCGAAAGCTTCTCTGTTACTTCTCCTGGGTTCAGCCTTGGTCAATACACTTCTGAAACGAGTATGCACAGCGTTCAAGGCGAATCGAGGCTATGTTGTCCTGAACGTGGCTGTAGGGCCAGATTTCAGGGCACATATGCCACGGGGAGCCTTGCGAGACATCGACGACTCAAACATAGTTTCTATCAGCACCAAGAAGGCAGAGGATACATTTGCGCAGAACCAGGCTGTTCAAAAACCTACCAAAGACAAGATGCACGGTTAAAGCACTATCGGAAGGCACATCAACACCTTGCCCCTGGTCCGATACTCTCTCGCACCAAATACAGATCGATGTAGTTCTGTTGATGGCTCGCTCGTAAGGCCCATTACCGATTCTTGTGCTTGCTTTCTTCAGTCTCGGTCTCGGTCTCGGTCTCACGAAACAAATCTTATTGCGCCCAGTATCTTATTCCAGCTGCTTCAGAGAAAGCCATGTTTACGGGTAATCATCCATTACGTGTATAGTACGAACTGTGGTTAAGCATGTCTCTTTTGTTGCAAATCTTATCGCATCTCGCATGGAATCGGAGTCACATCATAGCGCTATTTTCACGTCTTATCGGTGGTCTTATGACCTTTTCTGGGTATGTTTGCATCTTAGACACATATGGCATGTCTTCGTTTCGGGAAGCTCTTACGCTTGTAACACGTGAACGACATGGTTCTCTATCAATTCGTTGTCGGGGAAGTCCGTCTCAATTAGCAAGCATGCGTTTGTCCTTAGATGAGGGCGAATGATGCGGAGTTCAATGCGCTCGAAGCTGCCTGTACAATATATTACCGTCCCGCAATGACCACACTTCCAACCCGTCGGTACCCCACCGCTAGAACCCAACTTGGCTTGCTCATCTTGCCTCTGCTGCAAAGCCAATGCTTGAGCATTCGGGTCAGGGTCGCGTTTGCGCTTGTTTTGCGGGGATGAGTTTGGTGAGGCGTTGGCGGAGGAGGATGAGGATGAGGACGGAGAGCTCGGTGGTGAGCCAAGGGTTAGAGCAACGACTGGAATAGGGCTGTTATGCGTGTTCATGTTCGAGCCGTAATTTGTTGGGCGGTTGGAGATCAAGGGTGCAAAGTTGCATAGGCCGCCCAGGTGAGCTGTGGTGAGTGTAGCGGACAGACCAGAAGAGTGTAAGTGCTCAAAGAAACCCTTTTCCGTGTAACATTTGGTACGAGCGCCTGCGTGAAAGCGATCGTGACACACCTGGGTATATATCACACGATTTTGGAGTTGGAGTAATCACGGTCTTGATACTCATCATGCTTATCGCATGTATGATCGTGCATGATATGGCAGTCAGCAAGGACAGGCAAGCGAATACCGCCAAAACCTCAGTGGGTAAAGAATCTGGTAGAATATTGGATAGCTAAGGTGAAGTATCAGCGACGAAAGCCTAGGACAAGGAGAGCACGCCGAAGGGTGCAGCAAACGGATCGCTGCCGGGAGGGAATGGATTGAAAGAAGACGCGATGCAAGGCAGAAGAACCTCACGCGTTTCAACATCACTACTTCCTCTTGCGCACGGGTACTGTTGATCTTATTCATTCATTCATTGCACGGGAGGGTCTTTAACCATCGACCTCTTTCCCCCGCCCCCTCTCTATCCAACAACCACCTTAGTTCCTAACATTCCCCCTAATCTCATCATCACCCCCATGAGTGTGAATGTATGTCTGATTCCTCTCCTCAGGCGCACCGACACCACCGTGGGCAAAGTCACCCGCCTTGGTAGGCTGGCCGTTGGCCTTGATGCTGCCTCCCTCGTCGAGAGGGATCTCGCGGTTGTTGCCTGCGCCGCTGGCGGCAGAGCCGTATTTTACTTCGGCGCCGGGGAACTTGCCCTCGACGTTTGCGGTGTCAACGCCTGATTCGGTCGCTGTTGGGGGAGGAGGTTAGCTTGGGGTTTTGGTGGGAGTTTGGTGGGAGGGAGGGAAGGAAGGAGGGAAGGAAGGAGGGAAGGAGGTTGGGGGTGATAGGACGGGAAGGGGAGAGGGAAAGACGTACTGGACAAACCAGCATTGTGGCCGTGAATAGCGCTCTGGCTGTTGAGGTCCTGCTCAGCCTTCTTGGCGATCTCGTTGATGTCGGTGTTCTTGTATTCGGCAGACATATTGATATTTGTATCTCTTCGTGTAACTCGTTGATTTGAAGTGTGTACTGGAAAAACGTGGAATTTGGGTATCAAAGAAGTTGATAGTGTATGTATGTGCAATGGAGGGGTACGTCCAGAGGGGTGTTTTAAACCTTTTGTATCACAACTGCTAGCTTCCTTCATGTCTGCATCGATGATGATGAAAGAGTGGTGGACCCTGATGACATCACAACGACCTCATTACAGCGGGCCGAGATGGGAGAATCCTTTCGCCATGTGGAAAAGACTTGCCGATTAGTGAAGAGACTTATGAGCGGGAACTTGGAAATGCGGTAGGGGATTTGGTTGATGGAAAGGTTTGCCGTTGTTGGTGGGGTGGGTGGGAGAGATGGACATCCAGGTACCAGATCCGAGCAGTATGACGACAAAGATCGTGTTACAACACAGAACGCACGCGCCAACATGGAAAGAATAACGCGGGCCGGCAAACAATAATGCATTCATACAGATATGCATACCTAACTACGCCGTTCGTCTCTCATAAAGCATGAAGTTCGTCCCTCATGATGAGCCACTCAAGACTCGCTTCAAAACTTCATGTCGCAGAAACCGTGTTGAAGAGACCGCTATGTAAAACGCCATGCTCGCAAAGTGATATATGCGCGGATATGTAAAGCGAATGAAGCCCATACAACCAAGGAAACGTTTTTTTCGCAACATCCCCCATTATTACTGCTCTTCCTACTCTTCAGCAAAGGTCACATGCCTAAGCGGTGACCTGTGTTGCAAATTCTTGCTCGGCTGTTGGTAGGAAAGGAAACGTGCGTGACCCTTCCGTCCATTACTTTTTACCCAGCTTTCGACTGCAGTTTGTCTTGTTCTGCTGAGTACGATGCTGGGCTTGAGATTGTTCGCCTAGAAAATCTCGGAGTCGAGACTGCTGCGGTAGCTCTCTAGAGACTCTTCATCGTCTGCCGTGTTCGTTAGTAGGGGTCTTCATCTTGTGTTGAGCGGCAAACACTCACCCTGAATCGGCTTCCTGCGAACAACAGTGTCCGAATGTTGCAGAGGGCTCTGCGGCTGTGGGCTCCTGCTGCCCATGGGCCTGGGGCCAGTGATCTTGCGCTGTGGGCTGCTCATACCAGCCTCGGAGCGGAGGTACTGGCTGCTTGGGCGAGGCGAGGGTGTGGGCGTCATCTTTCGCGTATGTTAGCATTGTCCTCAGTCTTCTGAGGCGCGAGCTCAACTTACGCGATGGCCCCGGTCAGTCTCGAGGGAGTAACGCACCTCTGCAATGGGTGCAAGCGGTGTCAAAGCACCTTGGCTACCGAACTCATTCGGGGAGCTGTACATCTGCCTGGTCTGGCCGTAGCCAGCAAGCAGCTGTGGTGGTGGGACGAGCGGGCCGTCATCCGGGATCTTGGGAGGCCGGGGTGGGCCGGCCTGCTGCTCAGAAGCAGAGTGCTGGCTGTAGCCATCTGATGAGATTGGCGATAGGTTGCCAGCACCCTGTTGAGCCGACATGCCTGAAAGACGGTTGCGTGCCAGCGATGGCATGCTACCCCACTGATCGTAGTCAGGAGATCCTATGCTTGAGCGAACAGGATTGTAGATCTGCGCTTGGGTCTCCAAGTTGTTCTGGTGACGACCGGTTGGCCCAGGTCGTGGCTGGGGGTGCTGCAGGTTCAGCGAATTGCGATGCGCCTGGTACTTGGGGTCTTCCATCTCGTACTGAATGTCCTCCGGAATAAGAGGTGATGGCGAGCGTGCAGAACGTATTGAGCGCTGCTCTTCCCTAGCCAGGGATGTGTTGGAACGAAGCCTGTCATCGGCATGCTGCTCGTATGGCTCCTCGTCATCATAGTAATCATCCTGGGAAGAAGACCTAGAGTGCATTGAGTGAGGTCGCCTCTCTCCAGACCCGCTGTTGCGCGGCAAGCTCTCGGGGTTGGTGGAAGTTGTGGTCTTTGACCATCGCGAGATCTTGGGGATACCAAAGATGGACGATGAGTTGGACTTGTGCTTGCGCTTTGGCGTAGTGTCATCGCTCTGCGAGTTTCGCGTTGCCCTTGAAGCTTGTGGAGGAGTTCCTAACGATGCACGCTTTTCGGGGAAAGCTTCCTGGGTTGGCGTTGTCATGCGCTCGGTATTCTCGTAACCAGGGGTACGCTCATCGTACTCCTCGTCGCTCTCTTCTCGCACTATGCTAATACGGTTCGTTGGTACAACATCGTAGCCAGAGTGAAGATCTTGGATGCGGCGGGAAGACGAAGGGTTGGAGAAGTAGCCCGACTGGTCGGGGGAAGAGGCAGTGTTGGCACGGCCCTCTGGCTCGTAACCCGCGTCACCGCTCGCTCGAAGTTCCTCGTACGAATTGAGACTGTTTGTCCTCGCCTGCTGATCCAAGGAGAGCTGGTTGACCTGCTTCAGGCCCTCCACCTCACCGAGCAATTGAACAAGCATTTGCTCGATGTGCTTGATATCGCCATCTCCCTTGCCAGAGCTGAGGCCCTTGAGAGCACGCCTAAAGACATTCTTCTTCTTGGTCTCGATATCATCGTCTGAAGAGGTACGGTTGATACGAGGCGGTGTCTGGGGCTGAGGACGGGGACCACCAAGAATGCGCTGCTCCGCAAGGTTGACTCGCTTGTCGGTGGTGTTCATAATCATCGTATCTTGAGTCTTGATGAACTGCTTCAGGTCATCCAGCTGGTTGCGCATCTCCGCGGCGCTTCGCACAAGAGTGACGAGGATTTCGGTATCGCGAGCATTGCGTTGGGCGTCGCGGACAGTGAGATGATCCATGAGCGCCACGATATCCTTCGATTCGATGCGATCCATGCCTTTGCCGGTAGCTGCGTCGTAGAGAGGAGAAGTCATGCCGTGTGAGTTACCACTGACATGTCGGTCATGTTTGGCGCGAGCAGCAAACATGTCAGGGCTACCAAGGTCCACGCCATTGTACTCATCACCGTACCCGTCATCATCAAAGATCTTTGAGTGATTGCGGTTTTGTGGCGTATACGCTTCACGTTGGTTAGCCGACTGGTAACCCTCGTCTTTCCAGCCGGTTTGGCCTGACAAAGGAGTGCGGTTACTCTGCGCATAGCCTGACTGCTCGTATTGTTGCTCACCTGGATAGGGATGATCATATTCATCTTCTACGGTGGCCTGGTGTCGTTGATCGAACGAAGCCGGACTCTGCTGCTCTTCTCTTTCGTAAGCGGCAGCAGCGGCCATGGCAGCAGCTCCAGCTCCGAGTCCGATGGCACCCTTACTGAAAGAGGTGGGAGTACGCTC